TGCATCTGCAGTTCCATATCTGCGATTCAACCAACTGGGGATAGAATTTATGCAAATATGGAGGGCCAGGGCCAACTGTGCTCTTCAGATCTCAGACCCTATTCACCTCAGACAATGGTGACTTCCCTTTCAGGACTGGGAAGTCAGCGACAGCGACCAAACCTAACAAACGTGCTCCCGCTTCCCTCCATGTCCTACTCACAGTGGAAGGTGCAGTGCATTCCTCGTGCTCTGCTCCCACCTTCTAACATCTCAGAGCCTGACTTGATTGGGCATCTGTTTTTTATCTTAAGCCTTTGTTCTCTCCACTCTTTCTTATCAGCATGCTATATGTATTATCCCATCAATTTCAAGTCTAAACTTTACCGTAAATAATCGCTTAATTGTCCTCCTCCTTCACTGACTCCAGGACAAAGACCATATCTGTCTGTTTCTTGTGTTCCTATGGCCCAGCAGAGTGCCTGCCACAGTTGGTGCTAAATACACGTTGAATATAGTAAGTACGCAACAAATACTTCTTCAGTGTTCAGTCACTAGATTCAGTATCTCCACTGTGCTAAGTGTCAGAAGGCACTCTCAAGTGCACTTACACCCTGGAGGCAAGTACAAAAGGCAGCCCCTCCCCATCAAGCATTACAAGGTCTGGTCATTCTGCATGCACACTCTTGCTCCCCTGGCCCTTTCTGTCTCCCTCGTCTTTGACTCATTTCTTAGTACCCAATTCTTAGGACTTCATTCTCCCTTGTATTTAGACTTACCTTCACTATCTGTTTCTTCCTCTGGGCACTAATAAGTTCTGGATCTATGCCTTTGGCTTACTTTTAGCAGCTGAATGCCACACCCGGAACGGTGCCTGCCCTCCCTGGAGCTGAACTGCTGCGGTTCCTCAGCTCAATAGACTCCAGTCTGCTCATTTTCACCACCATGCTCCTGGGCCACAGTGCATGGCAGCCACACCAGGCATTGTCATTCCCGACCTGGAATTGAATGGTGGTATGAAAATTACAAAACAGCAGGAGCTGTTATGTAGGGGGAGGGGAGGGGAGTTTCTGTATATGTAGGGGGAGGGGAGTTTCTGCCAAATTAATAAATTAGTGAGAACTGCTGGCTCCCTCCCTCCAAATCAATCCTTGAGAAATGGAGGGGTAAGACCCCCTCACCACCACCCCCAGTTAATAATACCACCAAATAGATATGCATATATACTTCAGAAAACTGGGCTGTTTTGAAATGGTAATGGGGAAACAGGAGGAGGAATGGTCAGAGCCTGGGGTGGAGGGCAGCTGTGAGAGGATAAGCTAGAAAAAAAAAAGGAGGAAAAAACCCCATCTATGGAGATCCAGCATGGGGCACACTGCTGGTGCCGGGGTTCTGGGGCAAAATCCCAGAGTGGCAAAGCCACAGACTCACCTCAATCAGGCTGAGGACTGATTTGCCTCAGATATTTCCCTTCTTCACTTTTCTCTTCATCACCATGATGCTTATCCCTAAAGATTATTTAACACCTACATAGCCCTTACAGCCTCCCTCTTTACTCCTCTGTCAAACCTATTGTAAGAAATGCAGATTTTACACATTTTATTTACTTAGTAACAAGCATAAAGCTTTACAACTAACCAAATCATTTTAGAACAGTGGCATAACCTGTTTTATCTGACCTCTGTTAAGATTCAAGGCTCTGGGGCTGGTCTGGCAAGCTGTGCTGAGGCGCGCGACATTTGCTCTATTCTCTGTAGCTACCTCACTTCCATTAAATTTTCAGACCCTCAACCAAATATATCAAAGTCTTCACTATGTAAACACTAATGAGCACTCATGTGTGTAAGCACATGTGAAATCTCTTTCAGTCAACCTGTAGCCTTCTTAAAATGTCATTAGGAGACCTAATGGGGTGGGGTGAGTGGGGAGCCAGGAGATGTTCAGATATTGTGATTTGAATATTTTCAAATGAGACAATGTCAGAAAGTTGAGTTACTGTTTCTGTTGAAATTGAAAAAATTGTTAGTGGCACTGAGTGTTAAAATGGCATCGAATCTAAGATATACTAATGTCTATAGGCAGAAAAAAACATTTCTATACATATAAAATGAGAATGGGGACTTCCCGGGTGGCACAGTGGTTAAGAATCCACCTGCCAATGCAGTGGACACGGGCTCGAGCCCTGGTCTGGGAAGATCACACATGCCACAGAGCAACTAAGCCCGTGCGCCACTACTACTGAGCCTGCACTCTAGAACTCGCGAGCCACAACTATTGAGCCCACGTGCCACAACTACTGAAGCCCACGCACCTATAGCCCATGCTCCGCAACAAGAGAAGTCACCACAATAAGAGGCCCACGTGCCACAACAAAGAGTAGCCCCCGCTCGCTGCAACTAGAGAAAGACCATGCACAGCAATGAAAACCCAACACAGCCTAAAATAAATAAATAAATAAATAAATTTATTAAAAGAAAACAAAATGAGAATGGTATTGGTCATCTACCAGAACATCAGATGGTGTATTTGGACTTCTACCTCCAAACAAGTCCAGTTTATTTCAAACATTAAGGAACAAACTTCTGGCAGAACACTAACAAGCTGACTTAAATAAACCGCTCCATTTCAACGTATCTACCAGAGAGTTGTTGACAAAAGACTCGTTTATGTATTGACGCCTATTAAATAAGATATATTCTATGAACATACCAAAAGGTAGTATAAACAGGTAATGTATGAGACATAGACACTTTGTCTTCAGTACAGCGTACAAATAATATTGAATTTATTCAACTACTTGAAGTAATTTATTGTACATAGTTTTAGCTACTTACATGAAATATTTAAAATGTTAAAAAATCTAAATATTATCATTAAAATTTCCCACAAAGATCTCAGCTCAGCAAGTAGGTCACAGAAGCTGTGCTCAGTCCATTTCACAGTGCTTGGCTCCAGGCCACAGGGCAGGATGGCTCTGAGTGCACATGGTGAAGGCACGCCCCAGGTACGTTCTCTCAAACTACAGTCAGTTTATGAGGAAGAATCACGCTCCACACTCCACAGCCACAATTTACTTGCCGCTACCAAATGGAGTGTGGTACTTGAATGTGCAGAGCGGTCCTGCGGTGAGACTCCTGGCCCACAGCACAGAACAAATGGGACAGGAATAATCTTCAGCCAGAGACGGCTGCCCTAAATTGTTTTAGTCGGCTGTCTTTCCTGCTTAACTATTTGAGGAGGGTTATTCCCTGTAGCTTTACATAAGACCTGTCCCTATTCTTTAAGTAGGACAATTTTACTCCACTTAAAGTAAAAATTGAATTATGTTTCATAATAAACACCTCATCGTCCCCATATAGAGTGCATGGCTGTGTTTGTATCCCTCATCCAGGTTTAAAAAAATTGATGGTGTTAATTAAGTAAAGAAAAGATACAGATTAGTTTCCATTTTTATTAAAGCTGTGTTTTTTCTAAGTAATATATTACACTTAAAGTTAAATACCATAAATAAAGATTAGTTCTTAAATCTATTTTATTTATTAAAAATGTAAACAAAAAGAAAATAATTCACCACTCCCTCCCCAACCCTGACTAAATGTATCAAAAAAAAAAAAAAAGGTCATCCTTTCAGGTAAGTTCTTTCTTCAGAACGAGTAGCACAGACTTTATTAAAATATGTTAGTCCTCTTGGGCTGCAGGGACATGGCACGGATGACTGGTGCCAACTGTGAAACAGGTCTGTGGGGCTGTGACTGAAGTCCACCTCCTCCTGCCAGGACTACTCAAATGCCCGCAGAAACGGGCTCTTCTCTCTCCATTCAGTGTCCAAGGACAAGGACAGCGCTAAGGCACTGAGCACAGGACACTGTGATGAACATGGTGTGTAAGCTGGCATACTCCGGGAGGTGGGTCAGAGCCAGCAGTGACCTAGCAATTCTGCATGAATTAGTCATGCAGAATATTAGAATATTCTGAATATTCATGAACATTAGTCACAGAATATTAGAGCTGGAAAGATTCTGAGAAAGCATCTAGTCATTTTACAGATGGTCTCAATCAGTAAGTCTTCTAATACTGAAGAGAATATTGATAAAATTTTATGGAATACTCTGGTATACTTATTTATGTATCTTCCTAAAACTATTTAAACTTCATTAATGTTTCATTTTCAAATATTGATAAACTCTAAACCAACATATTAGGCTGAAACTAATTTTAAGCATAATTTATGACATTTTTAGAATGCCTAGTTGATCTTAACAAAAATAAGTATCCTTAAGAAATAAGTAAGGGAAAAGGATGTTTTTCAGGAGAATACAGAGGGATCTACATTAAGACTACCTAACTGCTTTACAGTTTCTTTAAAGCTATCAGCTCAAGTCTAGTGACAAGGCTTTTGCTTCCTTCCTGTAAATTCTGTTCTTGAAAACCTGAGAGACAAATTCACTTGTTAATTTTGACTTTGGGGGGGGAGGAGGAAGGGTGAGCTGTGACAAAGCGAGAGAGAGGCATGGACATATATACACTACCAAATGTAAGGTAGATAGCTAGTGGGAAGCAGCCACACAGCACAGGGAGATCAGCTCGGTGCTTTGTGACCACCTGGAGGGGTGGGATAGGGAGGGTGAGAGGGAGGGAGGCGCAAGAGGGAAGAGATATGGGAACATATGTATAACTGATTCACTTTTTTATAAAGCAGAAACTAACACACCATTGTAAAGCCATAGAGATGTAAAAAAAAATAAAATTGATATACTATTTAAATTGAAAAAAAATACTATCAAAATGAACCTAAGTCTGAACTGAAAACTGAGGTAGTCAGTTTTTATAAGGACTTGACCCTTTTGAGTCAGAAAGGGACTTCAGTCTACTATCCTCAAATCAGCTATCCCCATTCCCCTTCCCTGCCCCACCTTACTCCCACCATGGCTGCAGTCTGCATGGTCTCTTTCTCAGTGAACTGGTTTTGTGAACATAAAGAGCATTACCTGCCACCGGATATTGAAATTTAGGTCATCTCAAGTTCTTCAGTTCAAAACTTAATTCTAGCCTGCTAATTCTGCATTGAAATTTCAGATTTTAAAAATCCTTCTTTTTAGAAATTTAGAATTTTATCAGTGGCCTTCTAAATCCTCACTGAGTATACTATGCAGAATCAGTGATAAGCAACCACTTTCAAGACTTGTTGAAGAGGAAGGAAGACACCAGCACTGTTAGTTACCCTCAAAAACTCAAGATTTCTTAACACCATACTTTACCAGGTTCTACGTTTGTGCAGAGAAAACACTGGGCTACCAGATTCCAAGCTTAACAAATATATATATAGAAAAAATGTCATCTATAATATTTTCTTCAGAAAGTCATTAGTGCAAATATAATTATATCAATAAAAAGTAAAGCAAAAATATATTTCAAGTATAAAAAGCACCATGCTCAGAAACAATACTACCTAAATGGCATTACTGCATAACAGTCAAAATATAATTGAACCTATCACTGTGAGTCTCAAATATATTATGAATCCATATTATTTTTGGTGAAATTCTTTGTACAACTTTGCAGGATAATTCATAATCACATTGGGTATATAAGTTTAGATTTTTATAACTTTCCTTAAAAATATACTCTACATTTTTCTCTGACTTTTCATGATTTAAAGTATGCAGAACATAGGCAGAAACACCATTGGTATTAGATTTTCTTCAGCTGAGGCTGGCTATGCTAGAGACCCCCAGCTTTTCACAATGACAAATACCTCCAATTTAAAATTGTAGGCAAATAAGTATTTTAAATGTATGCATTTTTTTTAAAAAAAGGTGACTTTCCTCTATGCTGGAGTTGCTGTTTGGCTCCAGTGCCAAACAATAAGTTGGAATTACTCCTTAGTAATTATGCTGTTTGTTCACTTAGCAGTTTCTTAAACTGAGTGCTCAATAACTGTATGCTGAATTAAAGGGCCAACCAGTGAATGAATGAATGCATGTCCAAGGGCTATGTTTCTAATGCCACAGGACTTCATTAGCTTTAGAGAGAAAAACTGGGCATCATTCATCATTAAAGATTTTCAAATTGGGTTTACTAAGTAGGGTTGGTCAGCTCTAGTACAAGAGCAGAATTGCTTCTGGGGACCAGAATCTATGGGTGACAGAAAGAGTGTCAAATACAAGAGGTAAAAGACATTACCTCCTTTTAAAGCAAAGGCAACCTTCTGACTTCTGTGGACTAAGCCATACCCTGTGTGGTAAAGTGGACCCTATTGGATAGGCCCTACACCAAACCTACACTTTGCTATAAACAATTCAGACCATCTTGTTTTGACTTATATCTTTTCTTCTTACACATAAAATAATTTTCAGATAGTCAAATTCTTCTGTAACAACTCCTAAGCCCACTTGAAAATAACTGCATACCTGTCTATGCCAGAATTTCTTTTTATCTTCATTGGTCAAAAAGGAAAGTTCTATTTTTGTTGGACTGCAGTTGTCATAACTATTATCTGAAAAACATACAATTAGGTTTTCTTTTATTTGCATGTCTTCAATGTTTTCACAGGCAGAGTATTTTTCTCTCTCTGCTTCCCAGTTTTTCAAGTCATTATTAAACTAATGGAGAATACAACTGGAAGCTACTCTCTGAAGATCAATGAGTACAGATACAGCTACCAACACCTAATGGTTCAGCAGGAAACTGCCACACAGCTGGTTTGAAAAGGCTAGCATGGTTAAATCATAAGATTTAGCAAAACATAATTTAAAAAAAAAACAATGAGAACAATGATTTAGGTGTACCATATACAGTCATTAAATTCAAAATAGGTATAATAGTGATGTAGAAATCCCAATTCAAGTTATTTTCTGTAAGTCAAAGGACAATTTATACTTTTGAGGACAGGGTCCACAACTTATAACCTTGCAATGATTAGCTGTTCTTTAAATTATTGCAGCAGTGATGAACTTTCCCATTGTTTTAGGTTAATGAAGATGCTGAGGTATGCAATAACTGAATTTTTCACCTATTATCCCATTTTCAAAGGAAAACTTCAAGAAGAGTATTTATCCTGAAAAATAAAGAGACTTGGTGATTTGGAATTCCTCCTCCTTCTCCAAACTTTGAGGCTGTTGGGTTGCTGATGAGGCGTGATTGCTGTGAAGCTCTGCTTCAAGATCTGATTATGGTCAACACTTCCAAGCCAAAGTCAGGAATGCCACTTCTGCCATCTGTATAGGCTGGCACTCGCCCAGATTTTGTGCTTTGTTCAGAGGAACATGACACAAAGGAATGTCTTCAGAATTCACTTTTCCATTCCTAATGCCATACGCACAGAAGAAATCCAGCCAGCAGAGGAAATAGATTGCCTAGCAGAAGCCAAAGTGTAACCACTGGGCTAGAGGAACAGGAACAGAGATCTAGGGTTGAAAACAAAAAATTGACTTTCCACAGACATTTTTGGAAAAAATTATACCAACAAAATGTTGACAGATGAGTAGAGGTAATTATTAAAAGGTGAAGAAGGACTACCTTGAAGAGTAGAATCAAGAGTGACTTCCTGAAATCCATATATGCAAAGTCTTTTTTTATATTTATAGAAAAAGAACAAAATATTTATGTAGGAGAAAAGAAGATGTACCTACCATATCAAGGTTCAAAATCAGCACCCAAGAAAAGACAGGGTAGTATCCTGGCAAAGCTAAAGATGCTACACAGGAAAGTAAATGAAATTCTTGGCTATTCTGACATGGGATGCTAGACTCTCTTCTATTCTACCTTGTCCCTTCTAAGTAGGGTGACCCTATAATTTATCATCCCATATCAGGACATTTTGAGATAAGCGTTGAAATAAATTTCTAGTCTTAAGATGGAGCCTCTCCTGCCCATGGCGTCACATCAGCAAATTAAAACTTAGATAACTTTCATGTTTGTGTAAATGCTCCACTTGACCAGAACCACAGAATATCCAGTCAGCCAATCTCCAACCGCCGAGCCAGTGTGGGCGCTATACTTATTTCTTTGTTCGTTGATCTTTCTAAATAAGGTTAGATACTTAACCCCAGCCCATCAACCTAAGCTGAGTACTTCTTCCTTGTTTCCTGCTTGTAGCCCTTTTCCCTTATTTTACAGTTCTCTGGACTCCTGAGAGTAGAGACTGCCTGTGTGAAATAAAATTTGCTTTGATCAACTAAATTGTTCTCTTTGATAATTTTAACACAAGGGAATTATTAGTAATCATACCAGGACAATAGGCACGTGGACTGTCCCAGGCAAAACAGGACATACGTTCCCCAGCCTCTAAATATCTACCCATCTATTCATATCACCCCAGGCTTGATTTGGAAACAGCAGAAGATTCTATGAGTTTTGGGCAGTAGGAGTATATTTTAATTTATCTAAGAGTTGTTCTAACAGCTAAAACTATTTCCCCCAAACAATTCTCAGAATGGAGTACATTTTTTAGCAGTCAAGAGACCAGGTCAACCTGACTTTATTTCAGGATGAGTTGTCCTTTCTACTATTTTGACCAATAAAGAACCAACCAAGCTTCAAGTCTGACTTGCTTAAAAGGTAAGAAAAAAAGGACTGGTTTTTCAGCTATAGAATTAATAAAATGATAATGTTAAGGCACTGGAGCTTGTTCTTCTGAGAACTATACAGTGTAGAATAAGTATTTTAAAAAATTATTTCACTGTATGTAATACAAGTAAACCATGGAGAACTTATATTCTTCCCCAATGGAACCAGCTGGCAATCGTTAAATGTTAGAAAAATCAATCCTTCTCAAAGTATGGTACATGAGTCAACAACATCAGCATCACCTGGGAACTTCTCAGGCTCCAACCCAGATCTTCTGAATCAGAAACTCTGGGCGTGAGTCGTAGCAATCTGTGTTTTAACATGATTCTGATGCATGCTAAAGTTTGAGAACTTCTGAGCTCGAGCTGCAATGTCCAATATGGCAGCCATTAGCTATATGTGCTATTTAAATTTAAATTAACCAAAATGAGATGAAATATTTAGTTCCTCCGTCACAGTAGCCACATTTCACATGTTTAATAGTCACATGTGGCTAATGACTATTGTATGGGACAGCACAGATTATACAACATTTCCATCACCCCAGAAAGGTCTACTGGATACATTCTGGCCTACAACATCAGGTAGAGTGGTCTTGGCTGGAATAAGGAATAGACCCTGGAGTCACTAATAACACAGGCATATCCCTTTATCTCCCAATTCTCAATTTGGCACAAAGGAAATAGGAGGGGAACTGAACTAACTGTTGTTTATCTACTGTTGGTACTAACATTTAACAAGCTATTAAAATATTAATGGCCGCTCTAGAACATTTGTTGTCCTTCAAAAACACTGCACTTTCTGTGACAGTACTCTTTAAAAAGGAAAGATACAAAGAGCGTGTTTTAAAATGAATCAGAGACGATCAGATCTGGGTTTTGATCTGAACCTCATTAGCTGTGACAGTGAATATATCACTTAATCTCTTTATACCTTAGTTTTCTCATGTGTAAATGATAATTCCTACCTCATTAGGTTTTGTGATGATTAAATACAATGATATAGACATAAAGCACTCAGCAAAGTGTCTAGCATTTAATAAATAGAAACAAAATAACCTCCACAATCTGAAGAGATCAGAAAATTTAGAAATAAATCTTTCATATTCACTAATGGAAATTATGCCTAAAAGGTATCTATTCCTTTTTTTTTTTTCTAAAAGGCATCTATTCTTGTAATATTTTATACATTTTTCAAAAGTGTGGTAGTGATTCGGAGGTTACAATCCTTTTTTGAGCATGCTTCCTCATAGAACTGGTTAACAGGGGAAGAAATCACAACATAGTACCACAGTATCAGAAGGGTGACTACAAAGAGGGAGCTGGATAAGAAGTCAAGTCTAGGGCACAGGTTGGTGGAGGGGGTGGGGTCATTTGCAATCTCTACTCCCCACCTCCTTTCAACAGATTCACTTGTCTTTGCCATGCTCCAAGGACAGGAACTAACCACTTCACAGATCCTTGAACTAGTCTGGCTTTCTCCTCATTTCTACACATTTTTTAACTGTACTCCTAAGATTCTTACCCCTGAACCAGCTGGAGTAACTCTCTCTTTAACTCAACTCTAACTGCTAATGGCTGAATCAATGCTCATCTCTTGGACACTGAAATGATGATATTTCTTATAGTTAACTCTGAGATTAGGCCTGACCATGGGAACTCCATCAGAACCACCTATTTGTAGACTAGCAGCCCTTTAATTCTAGCCAAAGCAATTTAACAATAACAAAATCAAGTCATCCTATCACTTCATATGAAAGTTAACTAAGAATATTTAACACTACATTTATTATATACCATATCAAAAGGACCTAAGATCTTTTAATTCATTGTGCATTACTATTATAACCGCAGAAAACTCAGCTGGCTCACAGAAGTTAAGTGAAAAGAGTTAACACAGCAGGCCTGAGATGGTCATCATTTGAAAGTCCTGTTTGCAAGGACGGCCTTTAGCTGGTGTCTGGGAAGTGGTTTCTTCCAGACTTCATCCACTGTCCCCTTTCCCTTTGCTGATTCTGCTTTGTATCTTTTTGCTCTAACAAAGCTTAGCCGTAAGTACAACTAGAGGCTGAGTCCTTTGAGTCCTAGAGAGTCATGAAATCTGAGGGTGGTCTTAGGCATCCCTAACACAAGTATTAATCTCCCCAAATTCACCCTCTACTTATAGCCCATGTCTTGATAAAGGACCCAGAATGTGGGAAAGAAAGGGAATTAAATTTTAGAGGTGAAGAAACTTTGAGCTATAAAATGAACGTAGCCCTTTGTTTTCAACCAGACCGTGGAGCAAGCAAAGGGCTATACAGTTCCATTTAAAAAATACCTCCAGTTGAGAAAATGAAACATGGCCTATTCCAAAATATCAAACTGTCATAAAATCTCATAGGTCATTTAATTAAAATATCATGGACCATAGGTCAAAGCTTTCATTGAGAGTTCATGAGTTCTGCTTTTAAAACTTAGAAATGGGTCATCAGCCTCAGTTTGCACATCTTCATCAACAGGGAATGCACTCTTCTCCTGGTTCTAAAGGATTTTACTGGAATCTGTCTCCCTACAACTTTAATTCATTGTTCTCAGTCCTACTCTCTGGAGTCTCACAGAATGAGTAATATATCTCTCAGTGAAAACCACTGTCTTTGCCAGCCTGTCTTTCTATCTCACTGTGTATATTTGCATCTCCCTGCACCTTTCTCTTCTTTGTGGGCATGTCAATCCCTTCTTTGAGCATCTTTTCCAGTGACTTTCCCGCTCTTTCGCCTCACCTAGTTATAATATAACTAAAATATATTTAATTGCTTTTTGTATTCATGAACAGAATTTTTACTCTTACTTTCAAAATGAATGGCTGAAACATTAACTTTTTGTAACCTTCAATGAATGTTTTTGTGCAAGTCAGAGGTTCTTCACATATCGAAAGTTTCCTCACCCTCACTCTTACTGAAGAGAGGTGTCAAGTCTACCTACCTTCAATTTCTAACCATGGAGGGAAGGCGATCTTCCCATAAAACTGCAATTAGAAGAGAAGACGCGCAACCTGTTTTAGAGCTTCCTTGCAGGGCATTTTCAACATCTTGTAAGAAAAGTCCTTCTCTGTACTCCAACCACAGAGACTACTCACCTAGGGGTAGAGTTCGGGTCAAGTTAGTAGTTGGAGGATCTGTTTCTGGGGGACAGAGCTCACAGAAGTCCCAACATGATGGGCAGAGCAAGTTTCCATCGTGAATCCAGCCATTCATCTGAATACTGACAGGGAGGACCTGCCCGGCCCGACTACACAAATATGAAGTATCCTGAACCCAAACCTTCAGACCTTGTGGAGAACAAGAAACCTTCAAAAAGTGAAAAGAAAAAAAAATATCAGATCAGTAAGATTCTAGTATGTGAGCCTTCTCCCTCAACTGTAGGAAAATATGGCAGAATTTACTAAAAATGCTGGCTATAAAAGACAATTTGGAATGTGGGCCTATTTTAATTTCATATAAAGAGGGTTAAGTTATTCATGTTCTAAAAGAATTTCACTCTGTGGTAGTAGTAGTTCTTAGACTTTTTGTCTAGAACCTTTTAAAAAATCTAATGAAAGCTATGGACCCTTCCTGAAAAAAACAAGGTAACATACAGCTTTACATACAATTTGGATTCACAGACCCCTGAAGCCAAGTTATCAATAATAACATTTCTGTAGATTCTAGTATCCTCCTATAATTCAGGTTAAATGTCTGTCAAAGAGCCATGAATCATGTCACTTTTTCTACAAGTTGCTAAATTTTGTAACTCAAATTTTTTTAGTTGTTTTAAATTATAAAAATAGGGCTTCCCTGGTGGTGCAGTGGTTAAGAATCCGCCTGCTGATGCAGGGGACACAGGTTTGAGTTGTGGTCCGGGAAGATCCCACATGCTGCACCCAACTAAGTGCATCCAACTAAGCCTGCATGCCACAACTACTGAGCCTGCGCTCTAGAGCCCACGAGCCACAACTACTGAAGCCTGTGTGCCTAGAGTCCGTGCTCTGCAACAAGAGAAGCCACCACAATGAGAAGCCCGCACACTGCAATGAAGAGCAGCCCCCGCTCTCCGCAACTAGAAAAAGCCCATGCGTAGCAACGAAGACCCAACGCAGCCAAAAATAAATAAAATAAATTATAAAAACAATATATGCTCATTGTAAAAAAAAAAAAAAAAAGCACACTGTATAGAAATGACATAGTAAAAGTTTGTTATTCATTATCCCTATCCCAGATCCTCTGCTCAGAGATGAAAATGGTCACAGTGATTTTATACAACTGGTAACATCTTTAAAAGCAGGATTCTTATCTCATATACAAGGGGTAACTAATGAAATCAATTTAAAAAAACAAACATATTAAAGTTAACTTTAAGAAAATTTATAATGACTGTGTTCTCTTCAAAATTGTTTTCTTTTTTTTAAATAAATTTTATTTATTTATTCATTCATTCATTCATTCATTCATTCTGGCTGAGTTGGGTCCTCGCTCCTGCGCACGGGCTTTCTCTAGTTGCTGAGAATGGGGGCCACTCCTCATCGCAGTGCACAGGCGTCTCATTGTAGTAGCCGCTCCCATTGTGGAACACAGGCTCTAGGTGTGCAGGCCTCAGTAGCTGTGGCATGCGGGCTCAGCAGTTCTGGCTCGTGGGCTCCAGAGTGCAAGCTCAGTAGCTGTGGCGCACAGGCTTAGCCACTCCGTGGCATGTGGGATCCTCCCAGACCAGGGCTTGAACTCTCATCCCTTGCATTGGCAGGTGGACTCCCAACCACTGTGCCACCAGGGAAGCCCTCAAAGTTGTTTTCTAAAAAGACTTTACATTATGCTGCTTCACCTTAAATATTTCTGGATCTTCTCTCCTGGAACTATTTTCAAAGAAAGTGCATGGTTCTGAGTATGTTTGATGGTGGCAAATTTTTACTTTGCAAGTAGATGTAATTTTTGGAAATACCCAAAACTTGCCCAGATCCAAGTCTGGTAAAGGCAGTTGACTACACTGGTTAAGACTAGGTCAACATAGGTATGATGTAAAATACTGAAATTGACTTCTTAGATGGCTATTAAACTATCTCTAAAAGCAATTTAAAAAGGAGTTCCAAAAGTGTTTTTCAACAATGGAGTCATTTTAAAAACAACTCTTTTCATCAATTAAGTTTAAATATAACATTCATTTGGAAATTTAAGTTATAATAAGCTACCAAGAAAATAAACAACAAAGTGTAAACTCTTCTATAAGTCTGTCATTCAATGACCCACACCCAGTAAGCATCACCACAGCTGCAATGCAATGTAATCATTCTTTTAAGTGAGAATTGACTGGGTATTGTGCTTGGTGCTGAAAAGGATACCAAAGAAGTCCATGACACAGTGCCTGACCTCTAGCAGCTTTAATTGAGGAGAGAAGGGTAGGATATACAAATTTCCCCCCAAAATTAACAGTGTCAGACTGTTTTATGATAAAGAGGCAATAAATAAGAAAAAGAACAACAAAGATTAGAAAGTTTCATGGAAGAAAGCATTTATATTCTAAAGATGTGCACAGGGTTTGCATCACAGTGAGGGAGACATGTTGTGAGCTGGTGGGCTGTGTCAGAGTCCAAGTAGGTGAGGAGAGTAACCGCGTAGGGGTGGATGAAGATAGAAAGGAGTGGACAGATCAAATAACAAGCATATTAAGGACAAAGAGAGCCAGATTTCTCACTGCTTGAAAGAAGAGTTACAAATATGGGAAGGGAGAAAACTAAAATGAATTATTTGGTGTTAAACTGGAATCAAAGATACTGGTACAAACTCATGGTTATATATATGCACATGTACGAGTATATATAAAATTACATACACACATATATTTCCTAGCTCTGTTCACCAAGAAGGCCTGGGGAGCAGCTGTATCCCAACAGCAATGAACAATACATCTAGCACCCAGACTTTATTTTTTTATCTTTATTTTTAAAATAATTTTATTTATTTATTTTTGGCTGCGTTGGGTCTTTGTTGCTGTGCACAGGCTGTCTCTAGATGCGGCAGGTGGGGGCTACTCTTTGTTGTGGTGCTTGGGCTTCTCGTTGAGGTGGGTTCTCTTGTTGCAGAGCACGGGATCTAGGTGCGTGGGCTCCAGTAGTTATGGCATGCAGGCTCAGTAGTTGTGGCTCGCAGCCTCCAGCGCACAGGCTCAGTGGTTGTGGCACAGGGGCTCAGTTGCTCTGCAGCAATGTGGGGTCTTCCCGGACCACGGTTCAAATCCCTGTCCCCTGCATTGGCAGGCGGATTCTTAACCACTGTGCCACCAGGGAAGTCCCTAGCACCCAGACTTTAGTCTCTAAATACCTCACTCCACTAAAAGAAACAAGAGCTCCTTGGAGAAATGATTAATTCCAGGGCTGGGGCAAAGAAAGTGAAGATGAGCCTAGAATATCTTGTGCTAGAAAGCAAGGAAATAGTTAAAAAGATAGGACAGCCAAAAGGACACAGGAACCAACCTGAAGGGCTCCCTCCCTTTGGCTAAATCTGGGGCAACTTAAATATCCAAATAAATGATAGTAATGGTAATACCCACTGAATAAAATGCAATCTGTGAGTCAATACAGATTTAAATGCATAAATTAATAAAATGAAGGTATGATAAGAAATAAGTTATCGATATAGTACTTTTCCCCCCAAATACTTACTAATTAAAAAGGGAATTAATTAAAAGAGAAAAACAGTAACTTGACAGTGGAGAAGCCTGGTAGATATCAGCAAGTTAACATGACCAGCAAAGGGACAAATCAAGAGTGCACCACCAGGGACTTCCCTAGTGGTCCAGGGGTTAAGAATTGTCTTGCAATGCAGAGGATGCTGGTTTGATCCCTAGCTGGGGAACTGGGATCCCACATGCCATGGGGCAACTAAGCCCGTGCACCACAACTAGAGAGCCCACGTGCCGCAACTAATGAGCCCGCACACCACAACTAGAGAGAAGCCCGCGCACTGCAACGAAAGGTCCTGCGTGCCAAAACTAAGACCTGATGCAGCCAAAATAAATAAATATTTAAAAAAAAAAAAGTGTACCACCAAAAAAACACAAGCATCACTTCTGTGATATTACTGCCCAAAACATATTACATGAATTTAATCATGAGGAAACATCAGACAAACCCAAATGGAGACACATCATAGATAAGAACTGGCTTGTAATCTTTAAAAGTGTCAAGGTTATGAAAGTCAAGAAAAGACTGAGGAACTGTTCCAGATTGAAGGAGACCAGAGATGTGACAACTACTCAATATGTGATATCAGTGCAGATCCTATTACTACACGGACATTATTGGGACAATTGGCAAAACTTGAACGGGGTCCAAGAATTGGATGTATCAGTGTTATTTCCTGATTTTTTTGGTAGTACTGTGGTCATATAGGAGGATGTCCTTGTTTATAAGGAATAGACATTAAAGTATTTAGGGGTGAAGGGGCAGACTGTCAGCAATTTGCACTTAAATGACCCATATTTTTGTACCATTCTTGCAACTTCTCTGTCAAAATAAGTAAAACAAAGAACAACAGAAAACAAAACAGCTAATCCAAATGCTAATTGTTTGGAAATCATGCACATTTTCCCATATAAATGGTTGTGAGTATTAAATTAGCAAAATTAACTGACAACACTAGGTACTACAGGGAAGCCAAGTACATTCAGTCTTTGTAGATGGTATTACAAATCTACGTAATCCCTTTGTGGTGGTGGTGGCGGTATAGAGAAGACATTAAAACAGGCTGAAATGGTTATCCTCCTATTATAGTTCACACTGTTCCAGCTTTATCCCCTTTATTCTAATAAAAAGGTAAAGGATGTAAATATACTTACAAAAGCATTTTTATATAGTGAAAAGTGAAAATTAATTCAATATCTCACAGGAAAATGACTTCCCTAATTATGATATGATGCAATGTTCTACAGCTATGAAGAACAGTATGTATTATTATTGGGAGAACTTGGAAAAGGTATCTTGGTCTGTATAAAAAGTACTAAGTTGGGGCTTCCCTGGTGGCGCAGTGGTTGAGAGTCCGCCTGCCGATGCAGGGGACGCGGGTTCATGCCCCGGTCCGGGAGGATCCCACATGCCATGGAGCGGCTGGGCCCGTGAGCCGTGGCCACTGAGCCTGCGTGTCCGGAGCCTGTACTCCGCAACGGGAGAGGCCACAGCAGTGAGAGGCCCACGTACCGCAAAAAAAAAAAAAAAAAAAAAAGTACTAAGTAAAGTCACTAAAACAAAATTATGTATTCTGATTACAACTAGATCAAAACTATGTATTTAAGTAATACATAATCTTTAATGGAATGAATTCATCAGAAAACGGTTGCTGGATTATAGTTGTCAGATTATAGGATTATAGCTGGAAAGTGTTTATTTTGCATTGTCTTTTATAAGGTTTCAAAGGTAATTTTACATGAATTGTATGGTGTGTGAGTTATACCTCAATAAAGCAGTTACCAAAAACAAGAGTTAATTTTAAAGAAACTTTAAAAATAGTAAGTTAAATTGTCAGCTACATTAGTCCATTTAGCTCTTGTAGGTGAGATGGCACAACAAATTCTTATGTTTCAGTTTTCAGGATCACACTCTCCTCCCTGATGTCCGTTAGTAGGGTATGGAATATTCATTAGGTTTGATGCTCCTAAGTTACAGAATGCCTGTATCTTAGTAAGTTCTATGGTGATGCAGTCATTTAATATCAGACATGCAAATAATAAATTAAGAAAATAGTAGTTTGCTCTCTTTGGATTTCTAATTTCAAAGGAAAAAAATCTACTATTAATCAGTAGTTGATTTATTAATTCTTAAATACATGCTTTCTTCAGATTTTACAAAATAAATTATAGTTTTTTTTCCATTACAAAGTAGTTTTAAAGAACAAAATTACAGAACTTCCCTGGTGGCACAGTGGTTAAGAAACCGCCTGCAATGCAGGGGACATGGGTTTGATCCCTGGTCCGGGAAGATCCCACATGCCGTGGAGCAACTAAGCCTGTGCACCACAACTACTGAACCTGTGTGTCACAACTACTGAAGCCCACTTTGCAACAAGGAGAAGCCACCGCAATAAGAAGCCCACGCGCAAGCAGCGAAGACCCAATGCAACCAAAAATAAATAAATGTAAAAAAAAAGAACAAAATTACATGTTTCCTAACATTTCCTTAGGATCTATGCTCAGAAGCAAAATTGTTATAAAACTTGCTGATATATAGCAACTATATATCATTTTTAAACAGAGAAAGGCAATTTCTCTCAAAGAAATGACAATATTTTGACAAAACACAAATATACAAACTAATATTTACAATGAATAAGTTAAAGTATTAATCAGTAGAAATAAAAGATATAAAATGTATTTGAAAATATAAAAACCATATAATGAGATACAATTATGTAATATTTGGTACAGTTATTAACAATCATATGGTTTACCTGATAGCATCCACTCCCCCAGTCTGGGTAACTCAGCTTCCTTTCACACTTTTCCATGACAAATGCTGATTTCTGAATTAGACAAACTGAATGAGGTCCATACTTTTCAGCACCATAGTTTTTAAAAAGGTCTGAAGCAAACCAGAAAAGTTTTCTTTATTAAAAATTGACTTTGGGCTCAAAGAATAAGAAATTGAAGTATTCCACTCTTATAATTAAAAGTTGCTTTAAAAATAAAACATGTTTCATGGAAATTTTCAATTAAAAAAAAATCAAGAGAGAGGGTTCCAAACTCAAACTGGATTCTCAATAAAGCAATTGGTAGGAGAATTATTATATCAGAAACAAGAGATAAAATTGGGCTTAAAGCAACCAAGTTAAATATATAGAGGAAATGGCACTAAGAATCACCTTCAATGGTGTCCTAAATAGGAGTCACTTCCCAAGTGACCCAGATAGATGAGGTCAAGTGATTTATATAATGAAGATTTTTTTGGAGTGCTGCAACTTTTGCAAGACGTTCTTTTATTTTCAACTTATGCCATCTCCTGGAAGTCAATAAATGACAGGTTGAGCTAGTCTTAGACTAAGCACAAACCTGCAGAGGTATGGGGCAAACTAAATGACCCCTAACTAGCTAATGGACAAAGGAGTGAAATCCTTAAAGCCTAGGAATTAAAAAAAAAAAAAAAAGCCTAGGAATAATTTCTCTCTACACTTAATACAAGTTTCACCTTTTGAAAGCAGAGTTCAATTAGCCCATTTTGAAATATTATAAAGATAAAAATTTTATGTCAGTTTAAAAAATCTTAATTGTATAAGCTAAGAAAGAAAATGTAAAACAATAAAACAGAACTTTATGTTTCTTTATTTATTAATATTTCAAAGTCTTCAAAACACATAGTGATCATTGTCCAGAAAAAGAAAAGAGGGGTCAGCCAATCCCTCAGGTCAAATCCTGAGAAATACCTGTTTTTATAAAGAAATTTTTATTGGAACACAGCTATACTCATTCACTTACATATTATCTGTAACTGCTTTCACACTTAACAGCAGAGCTGAAAAGTTGCAACAGAGACTGTATGACCCATAAAGCCTAAAATATTTACTATCTTGCTTTTTATAATAAATATTTGCCAACTCCAGCTCTAAAACATTAAAATGTGATATCTTTGGCAAACCCATAATTGACAAATATGTGCATTTCTTTTGCTGTAACATGCAACTGCTGCGTAGTTATGTCATTAGACATTTATTAAGTAGGTAAGTGATGGGGAAAAAAATGACTGTACAAATCCAGTTACATCTGCCAGGTTTAAGAATAAAAGGAAAAAAATTATGGAAATTTTAATTTTAAATGATTTAGTCTGAAATAAAGTATGGAATGGGGGCGAGGAGGAAAGGACCAGGTTGAAAATTTTGATGACCACAGGCAGAAAAACTACTTATTGCTCTTGATTAACAAATCAGATGTGAGAACATTTTGTTTACAAAGGTGGTTAGTATGAGCTATAACTACTATTGCTGAATATCCAATTGCCATACTGTTTATTTCCTTGATGGCCTGTTCATTTAAATATACTAAATGGGAATAAATAAGATGGCAATACATCTTACTAGCCATGGGACAATAGTATTATTCTGATATCTGGAGAATGACACGTTATGTCTAAATTACATAAAATGCACACTCCTCAGGAGAGGAAAGAATAGGATACCTAATACGATTTAATAAAAAGAGTTCTGCATTGGAGGATCTTGCACTGACATCAATTAAACATATTACTTAGTAGCTCTTCCCTCATCTGTGAAATTCGATAATATCTTCTCTATGTCTCTTGTCAGGTTTTTAGAAGAACAAAATGAAATGATAAAAGTGAAATTGTTTTGCAAATGAAAAGTGTCATGCAAATATAAGGTATTACTAAACGGTAGTGTGTGTACACACATGTGCAAGTGTATCTAATAGCTAACAATCCTTTCTATGTGTCGTAATTCTAAGCACTTACTGTCACAACTCTATGAGACAGGTATTATCTCTTTTGTACAGAGGAGAAAACTGAGGCACAGAGAAGTTACTTTGAACAGGTGGATAGCAGTGGAACCACAACATAAACTCAGACAATCTGGCTCCAGGGTCTGTATCCTTAACCACTATTTTGTATTGCTGATACATACTTTTAATATGTATATAACATTTAATTTCACTAAACTACTAACCTGGTTGATTTTCCAATACTCTACAATCTGAGCTGCGCTGATATTCACCACTTAAATGCCAACTGAATTCCTGACTGAAAGGGCAGTAGTCAGCAATTTCTACTGAACCACCGTAATAAGGCAGATCTTCTGCAGGTACTCCACTGAGTTCATCAAAGTACTACAAAGAAAAAAATATTAGGCAGGCAGGAGAGTAAGAAACATTCTATATAATCAAAACAAAGCCCACAGGCAATTTATAGCAACCAATTAATGCTGTATAACACAAAGAAGATATTAATCTATTTTTTTCATACATAGTACAACACAAAGATAGTTAATATACTACCTGAGGGGTATTTTGCGGTTGTTGTAGTTTTAGAAATAAGCAAGGTAAGTAAATTAGTCTGTTTTTTATTAGATGACAAATTTGACTAATGTTTTAAAAGCACGAATAGGAAGAGTTTTAAGAGCTGACAAAATACAAAACTAATGCATAGAATTAAGATGTTTTAAATTTAATGTACTTCAAGTGTTTTTAGGAGAATTTATATGTTGTTTTGACAAACTTGAAAAAACCATAAGAAAATGAATGAGATCATATATATAAAATACTTTGAACACCAAAGAAACAAGGTACCAGATAAATTTTAAAGATTTCACATTTTAAATTATATTACTAAGAGTAGAAATATACAGTCGCCATCTTCTAGTGTTGAAAGCACTCAGTGTGGTCATAAACGTATGTAGGAAGCTCAAAATTTAGCAACAGTCACTTTAAATTCACTTCTGAGATATCGTTTCTGACTAATGGATCCTTTGTCAATGGCAGGCAGAGCTGAGGCTTTTTTTTAGAAATAGCCACTTCAACAAAAAACTTAAAGGTCAAATCAGAGATTCAGACTGGACACACGGGACCATTTCCTTCACCTTTCAGATCTCATTAGGCAAACTTTTCTAAAGCAGAATTTCCAAGTCTTCTAATTAACTGGACTACAGTACCTTAGTTACTCTATTTTATTTCCTTTTTAAAAAATTTTTTTATTTTATAATGGGTGTAGTTGATTAATAATGTAGTGTTAGTTTCAGGTGTACAGCAAAGTGATTCAGTTATACATGTATCTATTGTTTTTCAAATTCTTTTTCCATTTAGGTCATTACAGAGTATTCAGCAGACTTCCCTGTGATATACAGTATAGGTCTTTATTGGTTATCTATTTTAAATATATCAGTGTGTACATGTCAATCCCAAACTCCCAATCTATCCCTCCCCCTCCCCCTCCCCCCCTGGTAACCATAAGTTCGTTCTCTAAGTCTGTGAGTCTGTTTCTGTTTTGTAAATAAGTTTAGTTATATCATTTTTTAAAGATTCCACATATAAGTGATATTATTTGTCTTCTTCGGTTAGTTTCTTTCTTTAAAGAACCTTGTTTTTGATATAAATTAAAGACGAAGACTTTGGAAATAATTAAAAAGAAAATACAAACAATTTATAAAAAATAGATCAAAATAGGAACTTCCCCAGTGGTCTAGTGGTTAAGACTCCACGCTCCCAATGCTCCCTGGTCAGATCCCACAAGCCACAACTAAGACCCGGTGCAGACAAATAAAAAATATATATATATATATATATATTTTTAAAATAGATCAAAATAAATATTCTAAATGTCTCTTACCATTACTACAAGACATTGCTAGATATTAATTAATTGCTATCAATTAACACGTTGGTTATAAAGAAATGGAAGAATTCTTTGGTTTTTTCTAACTTACAGAAAACAAATGGGGGCTTATAAATTGAAAAACTTAAGAGAATTCACTCTTGTAATTCAAAATGGAGACTTCTTTTTAAAAGGTTGATTCCTGAAACTGTGCCCCAAACAAGTGTTACCTGGTACTCCTGAGGTAAAGGTTTCGGAAACTTCTGCAAATTACACACTGCAACTGCTCTCTGGTCCTGTCTGCAAGTTAACTGCAATGGATTACTTCTGAGCGTGTTACAGTAAGGGCTCAGCATTTGTCTCCTGTATACAAAGATAAAACACCATGGTATCAAACTCTGAAGAAGATATTATAAGTCTATTCTAGAGTTGTCTTTTCCATTACAATTTCAATATGTTTTAATACCTTAAAACTAATTGCTAAACCAGTTGTAAATTATAAACTTACTTTTCAAAGCATAAAGGAAATGCTTAATGTAGGTGTGAGGATTAATGCTAGATATATGACTGTTTCACTGTTATTAAATAAGGTCCTATTTATCTCTTTCTCCACTTTTGCCATAAAATGGAGTCCCAAGGTCCCTAACCAGTCTCCCTTCTTCTCTCTACCTTTCAGAGTCTTCTTACGTTTGCTTTATTTATAATGTCTAGGGGTTTTAGTTGTACTTAGAAGGAGGAATAGGAAAGAGTACATCTACATCTTCCCAGAAATGGAAGCAGGACTTGTATTTTTATATTATTTTAAAAAAAAGTTTTCCCGGGGGAGTTCCCTGATGGCCTAGTGGTTAGGATTCTGGGTTTTCACTGCCATGGTCCAGGTTCAATCCCTGGTCGGGGAACTGAGATCCTGCAAGCTGCACATGGCACCATAAAAAAATTCCCCAGGTGATTGTGATGCATTGAGACTAAGGAAGTATGTTGGGGAATAATATGATGTTGTATCCCGCAGGCTTGCAAGCCTGGTAGATGCCCAGCCTCCAGACTGAAGAAAGAGCACAGAGACAGTGACAAAGACATCAATGGTTTATTCTTACACATCTGAAACAAAAGCATCCTGGTGTGATACCCCACTGTGCATGGCAGACTGCAGGCGGGACATGGCAGCAATCTTCCCTACTCAGGGGAGAAAGGGGCTACCATTTATGGGGGAACTGATGTCAGGTGGGCTCATCAGTTACCAGGGAAGCCAGCAGCTGGGGTGGGGGCAAGCACGTAGGCAGTTACTGATTAAGCCCTATAATTCAGAGAATTGGATAGTCATGTGAATGAAGCAGGGACTGGTCGAGCAGATGAACAGAGAGCAAGAGGACAGCCATCTTGAGTGGCCTGACCATACACCTTTTATTTGGCATTTTATGATTAATAGAACTTTCAAATAGTATATAATCTCATTATTTCTAAAAGGAACCCTCCAAAGTAGACGTAGTATCTTCATTTTACTGATAAGTAAAAAGTTTGAGACAATTAGCTTGCCCAAGATCATACAGCTGGTGAAGGACAGAGCTGAGACTTCAATCTCTCTCTCCAAGGCCAATGCCTTGCTCATCACAGAAGTACCTGGTGATGGGTACTTGTGTTAAAGATGTTATTCTTATCTTTTGTCATCTGGGCTAGGCCTCAAAGCAGTTTAAATCACTCAGAGTTTCTACTAAGGAGTCTGACGTCTGAGTTATAAGCCTGCTGTGAGAAAAGCTGCTCCTAAGCAGTAGCAGGAAGCACTGCAGTTACTTTGGGGACAGCTGGTTAACTCCAGCACTACAACCTGATCTGCCAGTGTAGCTGTTCCCAAATTTTGCTGCACATTAGAATCATCTAGAGAGATTTTTAAAGTCTCCATGCCCACCTTGCACCCCATACCAATTGAATCAGAATGTCTGAAGGCAGGAATCAGGCATTAGTATGACTCATAAAAGGACAAACTGATAATTTGAAATTCATCAAAATTAAAAAACTTCTGCTCCACAAAAACCATATTAAGAGAACTAAAAGTCATATTGGCATAAGACACGAAGAGACATCTCACCAAAGAGGATACGTAGATAGCAAATAAGTACATGAAAAGATGTTCAACATCATTAGCCATTAGGGAAATGCAAATTAAAACCACAATGATATATCACACTACCTTTCAGAATAGCTTAAATAAAAAACGGTGACGGGGGCAGAGTCAAGATGGCGTACTAGGAGGATGCGGAATTTTCGTCTCCTCTCAACTAGGGCACCTACCAGGCTCCCGTGGGGCACCATGGAGACCTAAGGGTATGGGAAGAAACCCCAGTGACTGGGTAGGATGTAGGGCGTGGGGGGAGTGACGGGGGAGGAGAAGTGGAGGTGGGATGGGACTGGCACCCCTGACGGGCGGCTGGGGAAGGGGAAGGGATTCCCACGCCCCAAGGGGGAAACGGGAACCACTGGGAGGGCAGAGGATCAAAAGGGAGCGTGGCCAGGTTTCCCCTGCCCACTTGGACCCCCAGGAACCTGTTGAGAACCCAGGCCTGATCCTCTGCCCACCTAGGCCCCCTCCAGCCACAAGGGTCCTGAGGGAGTGGGAGGGAGGGAAGGGGGAGCAAAAGTAAAGGCTGGACCTACGGGACGGGCAGCCCTGAGGGGTGGATGGGGGAGGGGAAGGAGTTCCTACACCCAGCGGGACTCACCCACAGTTAGGGGTCCAGCCCGATGGTGGACAGCCTGGGGGAGACAGTGGGGGAGGGGTGCAAAGGAACAGAAGGAACGGGGCCAGTGCTTTCCCTGTCCACTTAGGCACCGGGAAGCCTGCTGGGCTCCCAGGCCTAATCCTCCGCCCTTGGAGCGTCCCTCCTGCCACACAGAGCCCAAGCCCTGCCCCTACACCCCCACCCAGGGCCCCACCTCTACACTCGGAGACCCCCTCTGAGACCCCCTCCAACGGCACTGGGCCTAAACTCCACCCACACACCCTCACGCAGGGCCCGACGTCCAAACTCCGTAACCCCACACTCCAGAGGTCCTCCTTTCGACGTGCTGCCTCTCCCCTTCTGGGCAGGTCCTAAGCAGAGGCCCCGCTCCATGCTCAAATTTCACCCCCCACCCGCCTAGGTCCTGCCCCACTCTAAACCCTGCCTCTGCCTAAGTTCCACCTCCACCCCCCAGCCTAAACTGTGCCCCCATAGCCAAGGCTTTTTTTTTTCCTCTTTTAGATTGGGGTTCTGTTTTACCTTGTTGATTCACTGTTGTTGATTCTTTTATATTTTTCCTAATAAAACTTTTATTTTTCTAATTTTATTTTATTCTTTATACTTTGTTAGTGACCTCTCCTTTTGGCTTGTTGCCCCCCTCCCTTTTTCTTCTTTTTTTTTGCTATGTTTTTATTTTACCTTGTTGCAGTTGTTTCAATTATAGTTTTATTTTTCCTGATGTATTTTTATCTTTCTAATTTTATTTTGTATTTTATTCTTTAATATTGTACTGTTCCTTTTTTTCTTTCTTTCTTCCTTTTTTTTTTTTTTTTTTTTTTTTTTACTGTGCCATGAAGCTTGCGGGATCTTGGTTCCCAGGCCAGAGGTCGGGTGGGAGCTCTGAGTCCAAACTGCTGGACTAACAGAGAACCTCAGACCCCAGGGAATATCAATCAGAGTGAGGCCTCCAGAAGGTCCTCATCTCAGCACCAAGACCCAGCTCTGTCTAACTGCCTGCAAACTCCAGTGCTGAACGTCTCAGGCCAAACAACCAGTAAGACAGGAATAAGCACCACCCATCAAAAAAAAAAGAAACGACAAAAAAAATATGTTACAGACGAAGGAGCAAGGTGAAAACCTACAAGACCAAATAAACGAAGAAGAAATAGGAAACCTACCTGAAAAAGAATTCAGAGTAATGACAGTAAAGATAATCCAAAATCTCAGAAACAGAATGGAGAAAACACAAGAAACATTTATCAAGGATCTAAAAGAACTAAAGAGCAAGCAAACAGTGATGAACAACACAATTACCAAAACTACAAATACTCTAGAAGGAATCAGTAACAGAATAACTGAGGCAGAAGAACGGATAAGTGAGCTGGAAGATAAAATGGTGGAAATAACTGCCAGGGAGCAGAATAAAGAAAACAGAATGAAAAGAATTGAGGACAGTCTCAGAGACCTCTGGGACAACATTAAATGCACCAACATTTGAATTATAGGGGTCCCAGAAGAAGAAGAGAAAAAGAAATGGTCTGAGAAAATATTTGAAGAGATTATAGTCAAAAACTTCCCTAACATGGCAAAGAAATAGTCAATCAAGTCCAGGAAGCACAGAGAGTCCCATACAGGATAAATCCAAGGAAAAACATCCAAGACACATATTAACCAAACTATCAAAAATTAAATACAAAGAAAATATATTAAAGCAGCAAGGGAAAAGCAACAAATAACATACAAGGGAATCCCCATAAGGTTAACAACTGCTTTTTCAGCAGAAACTCTGCAAACCAGAAGGGAGTGGCAGGACATATTTAAAGTGATGAAAGGGAAAAACCTACAACCAAGATTACCCAGCAAGGATCTCATTCAGATTCGATGGAGAAATTAAAACCTTTACAGATAAGCAAAAGTTAAGAAAATTCAGCACCACCAAACCAGCTTTACAACAAGTGTTAAAGGAACTTCTCTAGGCAGGAAACACAAGAGAAGGAAAAGGCCTACAATAACAAACCCAAAACAGTTAAGAAAATGGTAATAGGAACATACATATCGATAATTACCTTAAATGTAAATGGATTATATGCTCCAATGAAAAGACATAGACTGGCTGAATGGATACAAAAACAAGACCCATATATATGCTGTCTACAAGAGACGCACTTCAGACCTAGGGACACATACAGACTGAAAGTGAGGGGATGGAAAAAGATATTCCATGTAAATGGAAATCAAAAGAAAGCTGGAGTAGCAATACTCATATCAGACAAAATAAACTTTAAAATAAAGACTATTACAAGAGACAAAGAAGGACACTAACAATGATCAAGGGATCAATCCAAGAAGAAGCTATAACAATTGTAAATATTTATGCACCCAACATAGGAGCACCTCAATACATAAGGCAAATGCTAACAGCCATAAAAGGGGAAATAGACAGTAACACAATCATAGTAGGGGACTTTAACACCCCACTTTCACCAATGGACAGATCATCCAAAATGAAAATAAATAAGGAAACACAAACTTTAAATGACACATTAAACAAGATGGATTTAATTGATATTTATAGGACATTCCATCCAAAAACAACAGAATACACTTTCTTCTCAAGTGCACATGGAACATTCTCCAGGACAGATCATATCTTGGGTCACAAATCAAGCCTTGGTAAATTTAAGAAAATTGAAATCATATCAAGTATCTTTTCTGACCACAACAATATGAGACTAGACATCAATTACAGGAAAAAAACTGTAAAATATATAAACACATGGAGGCTAAACAATACACTACTAAATAACCAAGTGATCACTGAAGAAATCAAAGAGGAAATCAAAAAATACCTAGAAACAAATGACAATGAAAACACGACAAACCAAAACCTATGGGATGCAGCAAAAGCAGTTCTAAGAGGGGAGTTTATAGCAATACAATCCTACCTTAAGAAACAGGAAACATCTCAAATATACAACCTAACATTACACCTAAAGCAATTAGAGAAAGAAGAACAAAAAAACCCCAAAGTTAGCAGAAGGAAAGAAATCATAAAGATCAGATCAGAAATAAATGAAAAAGAAATGAAGGAAACGATAGCAAAGATCAACAAAACTAAAAGCTGGTTCTTTGAGAAGATAAACAAAATTGATAAACCATTAGCCAGACTCAGCAAGAAAAAAAGGGGGAAGACTCAAATCAACAGAATTAGAAATGAAAAAGAAGTAACAACTGACACTGCAGAAATACAAAGGATCATGAGAGATTATTAAAAGCATATGCCAATAAAATGGACAACCTGGAAGAAATGGACAAATTCTTAGAAAGGTATAACCTTGTAAGACTGAACCAGGAAGAAATAGAAAATATAAAGAGGCCAATCACAAGCACTGAAATTGAGACTGCGATTAAAAATCTTCCAACAAACAAAAGTCCAGGAACAGATGGCTTCACAGGCAAATTCTATCAAACATTCAGAGAAGAGCTAACACCTATCCTTCTCAAACTCTTCCAAAATATAGCAGAGGGAGGAACAGTACCAAACTCATTCTATGAGGCCACCATCACCCTGATACCAAAACCAGCAAAGATGTCACAAGAAAAGAAAACTACAGGGCTTCCCTGGTGGCGCAGTTGTTGAGAGTCTGCCTGCCGATGCAGGGGACACGGGTTCGTGCCCCGGTCCAGGGGGATCCTGTATGCCGCAGAACGGCTGGGCCCGTGAGCCATGGCTGCTCAGCCTGCGCGTCTGGAGCCTGTGCTCCGCAACGGGAGAGGCCACAGCAGTGAGAGGCCCACGTACTGCGAAGAAAAAAAAGAAAAGAAAACTACAGGCCAATACATCGATGCAAAAATCCTCAACAAAATACTAGCAAACAGAATCCAACAGTACATTAATAGGATCATACATCATGATCAAGTGGGGTTTATCCCAGCAATGCAAGGAGTCTTCAAGATATGCAAATCAATTAATGTGATATACCATATTAACAAATTGAAGGATAAAAACCATATGATCATCTCAATAGATGCAGAAAAAGCTTTTGACAAAATTCAACACCCATTTATGATAAAAAATCTCCAGAAAGTAGGCATAGAGGGAACCTACTTCAACATAATAAAGGCCATATATGACAGACCCACAGCCAACATCGTTGTCAGTGGTGAAAAACTAAAACCATTTCCTCTAAGATCAGGAAAAAGACAAGGTTGCCTACTCTCACCACTATTATTCAACATAGTTTTGGAAGTTTTAGCCACGGCAATCAGAGAAGAAAAAGAAATAAAAGGAATCCAAATCGGAAAAGAAGAAGTAAAACTGTCACTGTTTGCAGATGACAGGATACTATACATAGAGAATCCTAAAGATGCTACCAGAAAACTACTAGAGCTAATCAATGAATTTGGTAGAGTAGAAGGATACAAAATTAATGCACAGAAATCTTTTGCATTCCTATACACTAATGATGAAAAATCTGAAAGAGAAATTAAGGAAACACTCCTATTTACCACTGCAACAAAAAGAATAAAATACCTAGGAATAAACCTACCAAAGGAGACAAAAGACCTGTATGCAGAAAACTATAAGACACTGATGAAAGAAATTAAAGATGATACAAACAGATGGAGAGATATACTATGTGCCTGGATTGTAAGAATCAATATTGTGAAAATGACTCTACTACCCAAAGCAATCTACAGATTCAATGCAATCCCTATCAAACTACCAATGGCATTTTTCACAGAACTAGAATAAAAAATTGCAAAATTTGTATGGAAACACAAAAGACCCCAAATAGCCAAAGCAATCTTGAGAACGAAAAATGGAGCTGGAGGAATCAGGCTCCCTGACTTCAGACTATACTACAAAGCTATAGTAATCAAGACAATATGGTACTGGCACAAAAACAGAAAGATAGATCAATGGAACAGGATAGAAAGCCCAGAGATAAACCCATGCACATATGGTCACCTTATCTTTGATAAAGGAGGCAGGAATGTACAGTGGAGAAAGGACAGCCTCTTCAATAAGTGGTGCTGGGAACCTGGACAGGTACATGTAAAAGTATGAGATTAGATCACTCCCTAACACCATACACAAAAATAAGCTCAAAATGAATTAAAGACCTAAATGTAAGGCCAGAAACTATCAAACTCTTAGAGGAAAACATAGGCAGGACACTATGACATAAATCACAGCAAGATCCTTTTCGACCCACCTCCTAGAGAAATGGAAATAAAAACAAAAATAAACAAATGGGACCTAATGAATCTTCAAAGCTTTTGCACAGCAAAGGAAACCATAAACAAGACCAAAAGACAACCCTCAGAATGGCAGAAAATATTTGCAAATGAAGCAACTGAAAAAGGATTAATCTCCAAAATTTATAAGCACCTCATGCAGCTTAAAAACAAACAACCCAATCCAAAAATGGGCAGAAGACCTAAATAGACATTTCTCCAAAGAAGATATACAGATTGCCAACAAACAAGTGAAAAGCTGCTCAACATCACTAATCATTAGAGAAATGCACATCAAAACTACAATGAGGTATCACCTCACACCAGTCAGAATGGCCATCATCAAAAAATCTACAAACAATAAATGCTGGAGAGGGTGTGGAGAAAAGGGAACACTCCTGCACTCTTGGTGGGAATGTAAATTGATACAGCCACTATGGAGAACAATATGGAGGTCCTTAAAAAACTAAAAATAGAACTACCAAATGTCCTAGAAAACCCACTACTGGGCATATACCCTGAGAAAAGCATAATTCAAAAGGAGTCATGTACCACAATGTTCACTGCAGCTCTATTTACAATAGCCAGGACATGGAAGCAACCTAAGTGTCCATCAACAGGTGAATGGATAAAAAGATGTGGCACATATATATAATGGAATATTACTCAAGCCATAAAAAGAAACAAAATTGAGTTATTTGTAGTGAGGTGGACAGACCTAGAGTCTGTCATACAGAGTGAGTCAGAAAGAGAAAAACTAATACCGTATGCTAATACATATATATGGAATCTAAAAAAAAAATGGTTCTGAAGAACCTAGGGGCAGGACAGGAATAAAGACACAGACATAGAGAATGGACTTGAGGACATGGGGAGGGGGAAGGGTAAGCTGGGACGAAGTGAGAGAGCAGCACTGACATATATACACTACCAAATGTAAAACAGATAGCTAGTGGGAAGCAGCCGCATAGCACAGGGAGATCAGCTCGGTGCTTTGTGACCACCTAGAGGGGTGGGATAAGGAGGGTGGGAGGGAGACGCAAGAGGAAGGGAATATGCGGATATATGTATACATATAGCTGATTCACTTTGTTATACAGCAGAAACTAACACAACATTGTAAAGCAATTATACTCCAATAAAGATGTTAAAAAAAAAAAAAGACAATACCAAATGCTGGTGAGCATGTGGAGAAACTGTTATTCCTCATACATCGCTGGTTGGAATATAAAATGGTATAGCCATTCTGGAAAAGAGTTTGGCAGTTTCTTACAGCACTAAACTTGCAACTACCGTATTACACAGTGATTGCACTCCTAGGCACTTATTCTAGAAAAATGAAGATTTATGTTCACACAAAACCCTGTACACAAAAGTTTATATCAGCTTTATTCACAATAGCCAAAAACTAGAAACAACCCAGATGTCAACATGTGAATGGTTAAACAAACTGTGGTATATCCATATCATGGAATATTATTCTGACATAAAAATGAGCAAAGTTTTTATATACACAACAACTGGGTGAATCCTCAGAAAATTATGCTGAGTGAAAAAAGCCAGTCTTAAAAGGGTATATACTGTTATGAGTCCATTTATATAACATACTTCAAATGACAAAATTACAGAAATGCAGAACAGATCAGCAGTTTCCAGGGGTGGGAGGGAAGTGGGTATGGTTACAAAAGGTCAATAGGAGGGATCCCTGTGGTGATCCAAATATTTTGTATCTGACTGTATCAATGTCAATATCCTGGGTGTGATATGTACTACAGTTTTGCAAGATGTTACCAATCAAGGAAACTGGATAAAGTACACATGAGATCTCTATTTTTTCTACAACTGTATATGAATCTACAATTACCTCAAAAAGTTTAAAAATATATACATTTGTAAATAAATGAGTGCATGTGTGTGTGCGTTTCCCCCAAAATTGGAGACTGTATTTTTTAAAAAGCTTGCTAGGTAATTATGAGATGGATCCAGATTAGAGAACCACTATTCAAATGTTGCTTTATGTTTTTGATACTGAATCAATAGTTGCATCTATGTTTATGAGTGCATTCTCTGAAGAAAACAAATAAGAATGCTAGAGTATGCAAAATTTTGCAATATATATATTTATGAATTACAAGGTAAACAGAAATGTTTTATGGCTCTGGCGCTCACACTGTAGATTCTTTTGGTATATGCTTTAAAACAATACTGTGGCTACTTATTATGATATTATCATAAAAAACTGTAGATGGTTTTCTACACATTTTGAAATTGAACTGTTTAGACCACATTTTGAAAATAGGGACACTATAGGCTCTGGATAGAGAACAAAATCAGGAATAAACTGTGTCATCAAAGACATTAGGAGGAAATGCATCCTTACTTTTGTCTCTGCTGATCAATCCAGAATTTACAGCTCCTCCTGACAAAGTCACAGCCCAGTCCTCGGCCCCAGTCTAACTTCTCAGCCATGCTGTAATTAGCTTTATACCAGCTGTGGAAATAATTGAAACAAAGCACTTTATATTACTGTCATTTAAAAAACAACTCCAGCATACCAATTACAAATCTCAACAATAAGCAAACTAGAACCTCAAAAAGGACTTTGGTGACCATCCCCACAGATGAGCATTTATAAACAAAGTCCTTGCTGCACAGGATCACTGCAGCAGGGACTGTGAAATTTTAGTCTTGAGGAAAACATGAGTACTCGAGGGTGCTTTTACATTTGAAAAAAACCAAATCAAACCAAACCGTGTTCCCATTGTAATTTTCAAAGATGATATAAGTCACAGAGGAGAAAATGATTAAGGTGTGAGACAAGGAGAATAAAGGGCAAAGAAACAAAGAGAATGAGAGAAAAAGAGAAGGGAGTAAATTGAAGAAGAAAAGTAGAATTACTAGTTGTCTAGCCTTTACCTAATCTGATCCAGTTGGCCCTAGTTTCTTGCTTCCCTGGCCTTGAATTTGTGATATTCTATCAATATGGCTCCTGCTTGTGACTAAACATTACACCATTATAATAAGACAAATGAATACTATGGCCAATACATTAAAAATGTTCCAATTTCAGAGAAAAACCACAGTGATTTATCGATACTTTCCTGGCAAAATTAATCAAAGGCAATGAACCTACTTTTAGTTTTTCTTCTTTATTCTTAATGACAAGGTTAGTTTACAAGTTATAAAGCTATACAAAATAGCTTCTTTCATGCTTGTATTATATCTTCTCCCCTTAGAATTACCAAAACAGTAATAAATACACAGGCTCAAAAGTTGAGGGAATGATAAGAATCATCCCCTCCACTCTAGCACTTCCCACAAAATCTAACAACAGCAGAAATATGCAACATAGCATCCTTCAAAACCTTCTCCCCTTTCAAAGAACAGAACACTGAGAGAGAAACTGAAGAAATAAAGCCTGGCACTCCAATACCAAAATGCCTGAAACCTCTGCAGCTACAGTGTAAGTCACCTTAATTAGCTAACTTGGTATCACAGCAGGTCAAGCTGCCCGGATAGTAACAGGTGCCCTCAATCTTGCACACTAGCAAGTATTTTAGCAGTGCCTAGGTAAGGAAGTCTTTCTCCCAAAGGATAAAATATAATGTAATTAGATTCCCTTAGGAATTACCATATCTAGTATAGGTTGATGAGTGCAAAGCATAGTATCAACACTGTCATTAAATCATCTGCTAGGCACTCCAGCTACATTTCTTGAAACCTCCTTCATGTTTTCTTTGCAGTTCTTCCTGTACTATTAGTCAACAGTTATTAAGCACTTCTTATGTGCTAGGTACTTTGCTAAGTGTAGCTAAGGCTACAGCAGTGAATAAACACTTTCTGCCCTTGTGAACAGTATAATCTAGTGGGGAAGGCAGATACCAAAAAGAAAATTACAAGTGTGATAAGTAGGACAGGGGTTAAGTACAAGGTGATAATAGGAGCACATTGATAGGGAAACCTAAGCTAGTCTGGGGAATTAGGAAAGGTTTTTCTGAGGAAGCAACTTTAAGCTAAACCTAGAAGGGTGAGCACAAGTTAGCTGAGGGAGCAATTAGAAACAAGATTTCTTGGTGGCATTAGTGGGTTGTGAAATCAATTTAGTGGATCTTAATCAACGTTTCTTTCTCTCTCTCTTTTAAAATCAATAGAATACATCTGTAAAAAAAATTACATATTAAAATAAAAGATTAAAAAATAAAATCAATAGAAAAGAGGACTACATTGTAGATAGTAAGGGTAAATATTGTTTCGTGAAACTTTGAATGATTCAGTTTTTGTTGTTTTTAATTAATTAATTTTGGGCTGCACTGGGTCTTTCTTGCTACCCGCGGGCTTTCTCTAGTTGTGGTGAGTGGGGGCTACTCTTCATCGTGGTGTGAGGACTTCTCACGGCAGTGGCTTCTCTTGTTGTGGAGCACGGGCTCTAGGCGTGTGGGCTTCAGTAGTTGTGGCGTGCGGGCTTCAGTAGTTGTGGCCTGCAGGCTCAGTAGCTGTGGCTCACGAGCTCTAGAGCGCTAGTTGTGGCGCACAGGCTTAGTTGCTCTGCGGCATGTAGGATCTTCCCGGACCAGGGATTGAACCCATGTCCCCTGCATTGGCAGGCAGATTCTCAACCACTGTGCCACCAGGGAAGTCCTGAATGATTCAGTTTTACATGTAATAGCTAATACTTAATTGACCCTTATAATGTGCCAAGTACTCTATTAAGGAGTTTACATGTATCAACTCATTCAAGGCTCATAAAACTCTATGAGGTAGATATCACTTTTTATCCCTATTTTATAGAGGAAAGAACTGAGGCAAGGATACAACTAGTAAATGGCAGAGCTGGGATTTGAATCTAGGGTTCTGGCTTCAATGTTTTTGAGCTTTAAAAAAAATGGAAATATAATTCACATATCATAAAATTTACCCTCATAACGTGTACAATTCAATGTTTTTAGTATATTCACAAGGTTGTGCAACCATTACCACGATCTAATTTCAGAACATTTTCATCACCCCCAAAAAAACTATGTACCCATTAGCAGTCACTCCTTAGTCCCTGGCAACCACTAGTCTATTGCCTGTCTTTGTAGATTAGCGTATTGTGGACCTTTCATAGAAATGGAGTGTGGTCCTTTGCGTCTGGCTTCTTTCACCTGGCATAATATTTTCAAGGTTCATACATCTCGTAGCATGTATTAGTACTTCATTCCTTTTTTAAAACATTTTTAGAGCAGTTTTAGGTACACAGCAAAACTGAGTGGCCAGTACAGAGTTCCCATACACCCCCTGCCCTGCAACACACATACCCTCCCCCTACCATCAATATACTGCAACAGAGTGCTACATTTGTTACAATCAATAAACCTACATTGACACGTCATCATCACCTAAAATCCATAGTTTATATTAGGGTTTATTGTTGGTGTTGTACATTCAATGAGTTTGGACAAATGTATAATGACATGTAGCCATGATTATTCTGTAAAGTATCATACAGAATAATTTCATTGCCCTTAAAACCCTCTGTGGTCTGCTTGTTCATCCCTCCTTTCCCTTAACCCCTGGCAAACACTGATCTTTTTACTCACTCCATAGTTTTGCCTTTTCCAGGATGTCGTATAGTTGGAATCATACAGTATGTAGCCTTTTCAGATTGGCTTCTTTCACTTAGCAATATGCATTTAAGGTTCCTTCATGTCCTTTTATGGCTCGACAGCTCATTTCTTTTTAGCTCTGAATAATATTCCATTGTCTGGATGTACCACAATTTATTTATCCATTCACATATTGAAGGACAACTTGGTTGCTTCCACCTTTTGGCAATTATGAATAAAGCTGCTATAAACCTCTGTATAGAGGTTTTTTTGTAGGCATAAGTTTTTAATCCGTTTGATTAAATACCAAGTAGCATAATTGCTGGGTTGCTATGGTATGAGTATGTCTGGTTTTGTAAATCAATGCCAAACTATTTTCCAAAGTGGCTGTATCATTTTACATTCCCATCAGCAGTGTATGAGGGTTCCAATTTTCCCACATCAATATTTGCCATTGTCTTTTTTTTTTTTCTTTTTTTGGGCTTGCTGCATGGCTTGTAGGATCTCAGTTCCCTCACCAGGGACTGAACCTGCACCCTCAGCAGTGAAAGCGCGGAGTCCTAACCACTGAATTCCCTGCCATTGTCTTTTTTATTATAGCCATCCTAGTGGGTGTGAAGTAGCACTGTGGTTTTCATTTGCATTTCCCCAATGATGCTGAGAATCATTTCATGTGCTTATTAATCATTTGTATATCTTTAGAGAAATATCTATTGAAATCCCTCACCAATTTTATTTATTTATTTATTTGTTTGTTTGTTTGTACGCAGGCCTCTCACTGTTGTGGCCTCTCCCATTGCGGAGCACAGGCTCCAGACGCGCAGGCTCAGCGGCCATGGCTCACGGGCCCAGCCGCTCCACGGCATGTGGGATCTTCCCGGACTGGGGCACGAACCCGTGTCCCCTGCATCGGCAGGTGGACTCTCAACCACTGCACCACCAGGGAAGCCCCCTCACCAATTTTTAAATTGAGTTGTCTTTTTATTTCGAGTTATAAGAGTTCTTTATATATTCTGGGTACTAGATCCTTATCAGATAGATAATTGGCAAATATTTTCTCCTTTTGTGAGTTCTTTCCACTTTCTTGATAGTGCCCTTTGAAGTACAAGTATTTAATTTTGATGAAGTCCAATTTATCTATTTTTTCTTTGGTTGCTTGTGCTTTTGGTGTCATATCTAAGAAATCACTGCCTAATCTAGTATCATGAAGATTTACACCAATATTTCCTTCTAAGAGTTGTATAGTTTTAGCCTTATATTTAGGTCTTCAATCCATTTTGAGTTAATTTTTATATATCATGTGTGGTAGGGGTTCATTCTTTTGTATATGGATATCCAGTTGTCCCAACACCATTTGTTGAAAAAACTATTCTTTCCCCATTAAATGGTTTTGGCACCCTCGTCAACATCTTTACTCTTAACCATTATATATGTATGTGTGTACTTTGGTCGTGATGCATTTCTCACTGTGTGAGACACCATGCCTAAAAAACTTCTAAACAACATTTTGCAGAATGTGTGAAGGGCTTTGGGCAGTAGAAAGGACCACCTGAGATGCAGGGAGACATTAAAAAAAGGCAACTATAGTAATCCAAGGAAAAGATAATGGTGGCCTTGATAAATGTGACCCAAAAAGTAGACAGACTCCTGGGATACTGAAGAGCTGAAAATTAAGCAAGATTTATGATTGATTAGATGTGAGAGGCAGGGAGAGGGAGTTGTCAAGGATGATTCCCAGGTTTCTGGATGGAAACATGATAATGTCTTTTACTGGGAGAAGAAACTTAGCTAATCTACACTGAAGTCTTATGGATTTATGAAAATTAATTTCCACATCTACAATTTAAAAATACTGCCAGATACTTAGAAACATCTGGCTCATTTTTCTCTTGCAACAGAAAAAGGAAGAAATGCTTTAAAATTCACCAGTGCCATGGTTTCACTAGTCACTCACACACTCCACAGTGCTTTTATATCCTACTGGTATCTTAAAGAAACTAGCATTATTTACAGAAGGGCTATAAATAGGTTGTTAAACAGAGCAGCAGGACCACTTTTGTTGGCCATTGCTTGTTAGAGATAAATGGGAAAGAGCTATAATGGCACTAAAAGGAATCCAGCATTTTTTTTTTTCTTTTCAAAACTACTAATTTCCCGGGCTTCCCTGGTGGCGCAGTGGTTGAGAGTCCGCCTGCCGATGCAGGGGACACGAGTTCGTGCCCTGGTCTGGGAAGATCCCACATGCCGCGGAGCGGCTGGGCCCATGAGCCGTGGCCGTTGAGCTGCGTGTCCGGAGCCTGTGCCCCGCGGCGGGGGAGGCCACGACAGTGGGAGGCCCACATACTGCAAAAAAAAAAAAAAAAAAAATGAATTTCCCTACTTGGTCCACTGAAAATGACGAGAAGCAATGACAACCCAGTAGAAATGAACACAGTCCCTAGACTGTGGTTTCTAAAAGCTATTCTCCATCAAAAGGAACATTCCAGTGCTCCTTGGAAGACTGGCTAATGCCAGATGTAGGATGATACAGGGTATGTGCAGATCAGCCTGGTACATCCTGCTATACCAAAAAGCAAGGAAGCTATCAAAAACTGAGACTTGTTAAAAAAAAAAACCCAGGAACCCACAGTGAAAAAGACTCCCACCGGAGTCATTTAAAAACGGTATTCTATTGCTTTACAAGAAAGTTCTACTGCCTTAAAAACCAGGAATCTATACATAAACCAATTTCACTTACAATTAAAAAAAATTGTTTAGGTAAGCTTTTCCTTCATATCCGCATGGCCTCTACTTATTAAAAAATCTCATAATGCCAGGGATTTATTTCTATTCATTACTATACACCTCAGGGTCTCAAACATTTACTGAATGAATGAATGGAGGTGGTACAGGTAATGGATAGCTAACTGCACAAAATTTTAAAAATAGGTACATTTTACTTCAGTGTAAAATGTCAGTATTTTCTTAAGCTAATGTTTATTTCATCTTAATAGTAATCTTAATATTCATTTCATTTTAATAAACAGTTCATATAAAATTCTCACAGCTGTCTTACCCAGTGTCCTCCATTAACGCCAGAGTGATTCGAGAGAGGACTCGGTTCTGGGTGTGAGAACCAGTCATTGCTTCATTCTGAAAATCACCAACAGATTTTAATTAGAAGACTGGACTCCTTGCAAGTCCCAATAATTTTCGTGAGTGCTTTGATGTATATTTAAAATGTTGCAAGTGTGAGGGCTGACAAAATATTGACTTAAAATAGTGGAATACATAAGTCGTCTTTAAGATGACAAGACTGAAGCTTAAAGCAAAATCTACTTTCTGCCTCAAATGTCTATAGTGTATACAATTTCCCTGTAATGATAGATAACTAGCATTTAGAACTCTGTGATAAAAATGAAGATAAATATATGGAAACAGAAATACTGTAAAAACATTACACTATTCAGGCAAAGTAAAGTGGGTGGTTGAGACAGATGCCCAGATAATGGAGTGGGGAATGGAATACTTGCCTGAATTACAAAGAAAATGCTTTTATAACCAACTTTCTATACTTTGCGATCACATATTAATATGCAAAACAAGTATCACAGAATCATAGGATCAAAGGAGTTGCCTGAGGGAACCAAAATATCAAGGTCTACTAACTACCCAATGTCTTTTTTTTTTTTTTTCCAGTGTCTTAATTTCTATAATAAAATTCCTACCAGGAGGTCACCTAATGGTAAGGACTTCACTGTCTCTCAAGGAAGCATATTCTATCTTTGGGAAGCTCTGATTATTCCTTTTTTTGGGCAGGGGGGCGCCTGTACGGCTTGCAGGATCTAAGTTCCCAGACCAAGGATCAAACCCATGATTTGATCAGCAGCGAAAGCACGGAGTCCTAACCACTGTACTCCAGGGAATTCCCGTATTCTGCTAATCTTTATGTTGAACACTGGATGGCCATCTCAAGTACTTTAATATCATCTTTTAAAAAAAATAGTTCAAGGACACAAAGTTGATTTCAGAGGAAAGGCAGCGGTTAATGAAACTAATAAAATGACTACTCTCAAGTTTTCTATTGAAAACTAAGTAAATTTTCATTTCTGGACAATCTACAGCTTTCTAGAGGGAATCACTTGAGAAAACTGCTTAAGGAAAATAAACTTATTCCCATGTGAGAAATAAGTGTACGTGTCTTCCGTAAGTTTTTATCACTGTTACTTTGTGGTCACCTAGATAAGAACAGTCAGCACAAGCATTAATTTCACCCTTTTCATAATTTTGCTAACTTGGATCATGGTGTATGTAACCTGCAACCATTTAATTATTTAAACAGACGTCTAAAAAAAAAATACACACACACACATACACACACACACATATACACCCTTTGACCCAGAAATTCCATTTCCAGGGATTTATCCTTCCTTTTTCTATATAAACAAATCTGATCTTGCATTAACTTTCTAGTTCTGCTCCCCTGGAAACCTAATAAGGGTGGAATGTCAACTGTGTTACTAGGCAACGGGACTTAAGGAAAAAACACCACCTGTTATGCCTCTAGACTTGGGATTACTATAAATGAACATGAATACCTGTTGGTAAACCACAGTTTTGGACTTCTCTGTGTGCAGTGATTCTTATGGGTATGTCCCTTACAGGCATCTGGAAGTTATGTCTATGAAACTGTTAAAAAAAGATGTTGGTTCTTATTTGGGACATGGTACTTCTAAACCAGGCTGGTTCTTGCACCCCTCTATTATGGTCTTATGCTTATGGTATTTGAGTTGGAGGGAGAGGGAGAGAGGCATGGATGACAGCTGTTAGACTACTGTGTAGAGCACTAGAGAAATGCCTGACTCTGACATGCTGGCATGCTGTACTTTCTTTCTTGTATCCTTCTAATGGTTTTTGAATGTGACCTGTTTAGGTCTTATAGGTTTGACTGACTGTTTAGTTGAACCAAAGAACACCTACTGGAATGCCACTCCTGTAAGGCACTGAAGATATAAATAAATTGCTCATTACAACATTTTTAAGACAAAAAATTTAAAACATAATTATTCATTAAAAAGGACTGTTTTTACATTCACATAATATTATGTAGCTGTTTAAAAATAAGTAGATCCATGTATACAGTCTATTCTACTAATGCATGTATTTTTGTAATGTAAATGAGCTCATGTGAGACTAGTAAATAAGGGAATGACATCAGTATAAGATGGAATCATGTTGGTTCATAATGATTCCTCTCTGGATTTTAATGTTTTGTGCAATGGAGCAATAGCAGCTAAATTAATCACTTTGCTGTACACCTGAAACTAATACAACATTGTTAATCAACTATGTTCCAATATAAAATAAAAAACAAACAAAAAACCAAAATACACTAAGAGAGCAGAACACAGCAACAGAGGAGTGCTGTGCTGTGTATGATGCTCATTCACTCCATGTTCTTCCAACTGGCTCAGTATGGCCAGAGGCTTTGTCTTCGAAGTGTTTGTTGCATTGTTCTCTTACCTTTGTACATTTTACTCTTGTCCCCATTATTCAGATTTATAGTCTCCCATCTATCTACCATTGCCTTTTGCTATTGTTTAAGGTAAAGAAATACTAGAGTAAATACAGGAGTTTATTTATTGGAAATATGATGTCTTTTCAGACTGAGCTAGTACTTTTATTACGACTTATTGCTTTTGTTAATAACCTGGTATTTGTGTTTCCTACAATCCTTGTTACTTTTAGTGTTCGATTTTGAAGAAAGAGGTTCCTTAGGAAAGCATACATTGTATGATAGCAGAAGCACTTATACTGCCTTGGAAAGATGTCTAAGATATATTGTTAAATGAAAAAAGTTGCATAAATGTATGAACCTATTAAAAAAAAACTGTGTGTCAGTGTTTCTGTCTATCTATCTAACATTTCTGGAAGGATATTTAAAAAACTTAAATAGTGATTACATCTGGAAAGTGGATCTGGAAAGCTAAAGGGGAAAGGGACTTTTTAAATTTTTTTACTTTATAACCTATTATATATTTGAATAAGTTGAGTACGAATTCTTTTATTAAAGAAAAAATATGTCTAGTAAAATTCTAAAATAAACTGACCTCTAATAATCGCTTTTCCCAATGGTTGAGCTCAGTGCCCATACCACCTTGATTTTCAAGTTCCATTCCCTCCAGAATTGGACAGTTAAAATGTTTTCGTGCTTCATCCTAATAATCAGAAAAAAATAAGTAAATAAACCCTACAAAAGTACAACATAACGGCAAACTCCTTACCACACTGGATATAATAAAGTAGTCATTAAAGAATTACTTTGGTGAGAAGAGAGAATGTCTTCTAAAAATATAGTTTTTTTTTGTTTGTTTTTGTTTTTTGCGGTACGCGGGCCTCTCACTGTTGTGGCCTCTCCTGTTGCAGAGCATAGGCTCCGGACACGCAGGCTCAGCGGCCAGGGCTCACGGGCCCAGCCGCTCCACGGCATGTGGGATCTTCCCAGACCGGGGCACGAACCCATGTCCCCTGCATCGGCAGGCGGACTCTCAACCACTGCGCCACCAGGGAAGCCCTAAAAATATAGTTTTTAATATAATTAAATATTTTGATACTGTCACACTTTTCTTTGCTATTGAACTACTATTTCTCTTAATATTTTTTCCTCTATTTGAAGATTTTGGCTTTAAGTCATATATTTCAAAAAAGTTATAGACTGGTATGATTGCCATTTGTAACTGTTGTGTCAACAATGATTTTAATGCAGGTATAAACTGCTCTTATTATGGATATAGTTTTTGTAAGAAAAATAAGTTGTTCATTAGAAAACAATTTTGTTCATTTGGTTTCGTCTGTCCTTCAGTTAGAGATTTCCAGGGATGGGAAATATCCCAAGAGCAGTGCAAAAGTTCAGAGGTCAGAAGGAGCTGTGTGTAGTCAAGGAAGGAGGAGAAGGGAGAATAGGTTTCTGTCATTAAACAAGAGGGTGTGATGATTAATTTTATGTGTCAACTTGGCTGGGCCACAGATAGCTGATCAAACATTATTCTGAATGTTTCTGTGAAGGTGTTTTTGGATGAGATTAACATTTAAATTAGTGGGCTTTAAGTAAAGCCGATCACTCTGTAACATAAATGGGCCACTCAGTTGAAGGCCTTCATAGAACAAAGGCTGACTTTACCCCTGAGCAAGAAGGAATTTTGCCAGCCGACTTCTTCTGGACTCAAACTACAACTGTTCCCTGAGTCTTCAGGTTGCCAGCCCACCTCATCAGATTTTGGACCAGCCAATTACTTAAAATAAATCTCTTTATCTTTTTCTCTCTCAACACATCCTGTTGGTTCTGTTTTTCTGGAGAACCCTGACTAAAACAGACTCCAAATGAAACGACCAGCAATTATGCATATAGTACCAGGGATCCTAAGAGGTATCACAACAGACCACTGGTATCACAACTTAAAGCAGTGGGTAGAATGCAGCCATAAGAGTCATCGCCAAATTTCTGTTTCCTCAGATTGTGCTTGGCCTGTAGCTTTACTGTACTGCCTTTATATTATGTTTCCTACTACAGGCTTTGAAATTTAATCATTAGATCTTAAACAATAATGATTAGTAAAGAAGGGACTATAATGAACGAAAAGAGCAGATGGCTCATGAGACATGAAGTTCAGTGATACTCACAACAACACGAGGTGTTACTAGAAGATACACAGTGTGAGGAACTCTCTTATTATCTCGAATATCCCACAATCTCTCCACTTTTCGAACTACTTTATCACTCCATTGATATAATCCAAGACTGCAATTAAAGAATAAAAAGACAGTCCTTTTTGCAAATTCACCACCACTTTAAGTGTAAAAGTGTTTATGAATATCAATATGAAATTAAAATATTTGAGCTTACTATACACCAAGTGCAAGCAAAGACTTGATAGCATTTTCTAATTTAATCTTTTCAATAACTTTATGAGATTATCATCACTATTTTGCAGGTAAAGAGACAGAAGCTTAGAGAGATGAAGTAACTTGCTCAAATTCAAATAGCTAATTTTTGGCTAAGATGACAATGAATTACTTCCTCTTAACAAATTTACTGGATAAAACAAAAGCATGTCTAGAGACATATCCTAGTACTGCACATAACAAAACTTAACAAAAGGTGACATTTTAATTTAGTGGGAAAGCATAATTTACTTAATAACTGTGCTGTAAAACTGCTTATCCTACTAGGAAAAACAAAGTTAAATCCCTATTTCACTCCATATACAGAAATAAATTCCAGACAAATGTCAGTAAAAACGGCAGAGTAAGGACCCCTGAACTTTGTGAAAGCAATGGGGAAAGGATCAAAATTGGCCAAATGAACTTTTTCAGAACTCTGGAAATTAACCAAAGGCTTGTAGTAATCCAGGAAGCACTTCTTTAAGAAAAATGGATGAATCTCAGTAAGAATAGCAAGCTTTGTGGCGTTTTCCCATGCCCTCTCTCCAGCTTTGTGGCAGCTTTGAAAACCAACAGCCCACAATCATGGTGAAAATCAGCAATCTGGCAGCCAGAGGGAACAGAAGGGGGTTGACTGGCAGAATGCATTAAAAAAAAAACATGATCCAACTATGTCTACAAGAGACATGGTTCAGAGTCAAGTATACAAATAGGTTGAACGTAAAAGGATTAAATGCCTTTTATGCCCATGCCTTAGAAAGATTATTAATTCCTTTCCTTTTTCTGTGGCAAGGCAATGTTTAAACATAAATAGTGAACAAAGCCAACAAGAAAATAATCAGTTTTTACCTCATTAATAACTCCAATATCCTCTTCATCATTCACATTTCAAGATTAATGGTTTCTCCAAATAAATAGGTTAGGGCCAAATCCGACTCTTTCTATGTCTAACACCTGAATTTCATATTATTATATTATGTCCATTTATACTGTAAGATTTCCTGCTTTTGAGGAATATCCCGAATGTAAGAAAGCACTGCAAATTATCAGCTTAACAATGGTTCTTGTGTGTAGTAATCTCTCTCCTCCTTACCTACATCACTGTGTAGATGTTGCCTATCTCACTATTTATGTTTCCCATAAAGACCACAATTCTTAGGAAAGACCAGACTTCTCCCATACCACCAAACGAACACAATCTAGGAAGTAAAACATGTATTTCTACATTAGAGTTGTTTCTTCACATGTACTCTAAAAAAATACTATGATGAATAAAGTACTATCTGTTTTAATATTTACTTCTAGCTACCTAAATGGAGATCTTTGTGTGAGAATTAATTTTGTATTCTACATCCATATACCACTACTCTGATAAAGAGATGAAAGAGTGTCAGCACCCCGAGAAGGTTTCTTTATGCCCCCTCTCAATCTGTTCAACTTGTATGGCATTTAATAGCCTGTGGCTTCAAGTAAAACTACTAATCTGTCTTTTACCGTTGACTGTTTTTAAACTCCATACAACTGAACTATGACTTTTTTTTTTTTTTTGGCTGCGTTGGGTCTTTGTTGCTGTGCACGGGGCTTTCTCCAGTTGCTACGAGTGGGGGCTACTCGTCATTGCGGTGTGCAGGCTTCTCACTGTGGTGGCTTCTCTTGTTGTGGAGCATGGGCTCTAGGTGCGTGGGCTTCAGTAGTTGTGGCACACGGGCTCAGTAGTTGTGGCTCACGGGCTTTAGAGCACAGGCTCAGTAGTTGTGGCACACTGGCTTAGTTGCTCTGCAGCATGAGGGATCTTCCCAGACCAGGGATCGAACCTGTGTCCCCTGCATTAGCAGGTGGATTCTTTTTTTTTTTTTTTTTTGCGGTACGCGGGCCTTTCACTGTTGTGGCCTCTCCCGCTGCGGAGCACAGGCTCCGGACGCGCAGGCTCAGCGGCCATGGCTCACGGGTCTAGCCGCTCCGTGGCATGTGGGATCTTCCCGTACTGGGGCACGAACCCGTGTCCCCTGCATCGGCAGGCGGACTCTCAACCACTGCGCCACCAGGGAAGCCCATGCAGGTGGATTCTTAACCACCGCGCCACCAGGGAAGTCCCTGGACTACGACTTCTTTTATTGAAACTTGTAACTGTGATATTCATACACTTTACTGCATGCAGCAATAATGTGTTCTTTTTAGTGCCTTGTAGTTTTTGGTTATAGGAATATATCACGATTTATTTATCCATTCTTCTATTGATGGACCTTTGGGTGGTTTCCATTTTTTGTTTATTAATAACAAAACTGCCATGAACATTCATTTTCATGTCTTTTTGTGGACATGTGCTCTTAATTTAGAGATTCATTTTTTATATAAATGCATGCAAATGGTTATAGTTCTGTGACTGATATTCTATATAAAATTCTTGATAATTTTTTTTAGTAATTCTTGGTATTATTTCTTTTAGGCCCTGAACCTCTAGTCACTGTTAATATGATGAGCTAAATAAAATACCAGTTAACATGTAAATATTGCCATGTACAGGCAATAATTATTAAAAAACCAAACTATAACCAACCCATATTTTCCCATGGCCTGACTCTCCTATAAAGTAATACAAGCTACAGAGTGGTGGAAAAGAGCTCTGCCGGCAAAGAGTCCTGGCTCTTTGGATAAATCACTTAAGTTTTCTCCATCTCAATTGTTTCATCTGTAAAATGAAAAGGTGAAGCTAAATGAACTCTTTTTTTTTATTGGAGTATAATTGTTTTATAATGTTGTATTAGTTTCTGCTGTACAATGAAGTGAATCAGCTATGTGTATACATATATCCCATCCCTCTTGGACCTCCCTCCCACCCTGCACCCCCATCCCATCCATCTAGGTCATCACAGAGCACTAAGCTGACCTCCCTGTGCTATACAGCAGGTTCCCACTAGCTAGCTATTTTACACATGGTAGTGTATACATGTCAATCCTAATCTCCCAATTCATCCCACCCTTATATCCTATCTTGTTTTAATAAGATAGGACATACAATCTTCTTAGGCTAGCCATAAAGCCACTATTATTTATGGAACTTAACATGCTATGATTCTCAGCTGCTAGTCTTAGCACTCTCCTAAAAGAGAAGAACAAGAACAAAAAAAACCAAATACCTATAGTTAAAAGGTGGGAGACCATCTGCAAATCTTGAAGTTAGAGGATTTCCATCTTTATCATGGTAGAATGCAAATAGCCCAGCAGAGAAACCCTGTAAGAAAAAGTTCAAAATGTCTTACAGTGAAAAATATCAAATCTGACTATAGATATCACAACATGCCACTATCAAAAGAGAACATTGATACAACCACATAAAAGTGTCAGGCCAATATTTCTACAGGAACTTGCCATATACTGGAATTGGACTGAAATTAAGTGTTTCATATTATGAATTTTAAATTTCAATTACTTGAGATAATTCTAAGTGAGGAAACCAAAAGTAATAGTAACAAAGACATTCTTTGGTTGGTATAGACAATGCATTTATTTGTTTACAGACGTGTTTATAATAGTTGGTCCTCTTCACATGAACTTACTAACAAACTCTACAATTGCAACCAGGGAAATGTTACTATTAACAACAATTAACAATACAGTTTAGAGCAGGGGGGTGTGCTAGTAAGATCACTCATAAAAATTCAAAGTCTTTGATACCAAAGTCCATATTTAATATATATCTATATCTAAAATAAAAAAGACTATAAATGTGTGTTTATGTGCGGGGGTGTATACTTCGGAAAAAAGATTGGAAACATATATCGAAATGTTAGCTGTGGTTCTTTTGGTGGTAGAGTAATGTGTAAAATCATCTGTATTTCTAAAAGTTTTTTACAATGTGAATTTGTGTGTTTATAATCACATTTTTAGACAGTATTTTAAAGAAGTCTTCAATTTTAATAAGATAGTAGCTACTTCACATAAAGGTATTCAAATTCCCATTCTCTATCCCCTCTCCCAAATAAGATGAGAAAATGGGCAAAAAAAAAAATTATTGACATTTGATATCTCCTATTTCATTAGTGAGATTTCTTTTCTTACTTTCTTTCCTAACCTAATAACTAAAACAAAGTGCTTTTGTAATTACTAATTTAAGTATGGTTTTTTTTTTCTTTCTTTTTTTTTTTTGTGCGGTACACAGGCCTCTCACTGTCGTGGCCTCTCCCGCTGCTGAGCACAGGCTCCGGATGCGCAGGCTCAGCGGCCATGGCTCAGGGGCCCAGCAGCTCCGCGGCATGTGGGATCTTCCCGGATGGGGCACGAACCCGTGTCCCCTGCATCGGCAGGCGGACTCTCAACCACTGTGCCACCAGGGAAGCCCTTAAGCATGTTTTATACACTGAGACTATGCTATAGTTTATATCCAAATAACTAACAATCACAAATGATCACTTAATTAACCTATTTCTTTGGCAAATGTCTTTGCTTACATAACTGTGGCCTGTGTCATTCAAGGCTTGCCAAAATGATTAATGGAATCCAGAGTATTCTTTTATTCCTACATTTCTTCTTTTTTAATCTCTGAAGATGCAAAGAACATTTAATGGAGTCAGGTAAGAAAATCTAAACAGTTTTTAATATACAATTCACTAAAGTTATATAAAGCTTAAAATAGTATGCTGTGCCTCATCTTTCATAATATTCTAAATACACATTTTTTTCCACAATATCAATTTGAAAATTTTTCTAAGCACTCACATTTCAGAAGGCTTATCTGGTATTGAAAGAACCAGGAATGACTGTATTTGATAGCTAGAGCAATATATAACTTTATAGGGAATAAGTGTATTTGTTAAACATTTAATTCTTAGCATCCTCCAGGATGGTTTTTGAGACAAACTAATATTTTAAATTTCCTAGGTTTTTACAATTTTTTAAATAATTCAAATACACGAAAAAGTTTAAAAATCTAATAGAAACTTAGGTATACTCCTTAAGAGGATTTAAGATATTCGTTTTGCCAGGTCTTCTTCAGACTTTTTTTTAAGAAATAAAACACTGCAGAATAAATACCGTTGAAGGCCCATTACCTTCACCCTTTCTCTTCCCACTTTTCCCAGGGGTAATCACTACCTTAAAGTCAATGTACATAGTAACTCTCACACATGTTTTTATATTCAATGGTGTCTGACTTTAATTTGAGATTCCCTGATTGCTAAAGTAAATCTGAGTATGTTCTCATATACTTCTTGGCCAATTGGACCTTTTCTTTTGTGACCTGCCTGTTCATAACCTAATTTACCTCATATCTGGGACCTCTGCATTCATGTTCACTTATATACTAGACTTAAAACCTGCTGTTTTTTTCTGGTTCTCTCAACATCAAGTATCTATTGTTTTTGGAGCTTAAAGCTTAAAATGTTACTTAGAATGATGCTTATCTTTCATCACAATAGCAGGTTTAACTTACTTTTTTAATAAAAGGAAAAGAGATGATTCATTTTAGAATCTCCTTACTTGAAGACCAGAAGTGCTATCTGGATACACTAGAGTTTCACTGAATTATCCAAGGTATTTACTGATTTAAAGACTGAGGTCATACATAATAGCTCATGAAATAAGACTAATAAATGATAGTCACTAATTTTATTATACCTTACTATGTAGAGCATGGTGCTAAGCCATTTATGTTTCGTCTTATTTAATCTTCAAGAAAAAAATCCATTGTAGTATGTACTACTATATTCATTTTATAGATGAAACAGAGGCTTACAAAGGCTAAATAATTTGTAATAGATCCCAAAGATTTTTAGCAGTAAAGCTAAGGAGATTCACACCTAGATCTGCGTGATCCATTCTCTCCCTCTCTCTTTTTTTAAATAATGTACTCTATAGTGGGTGCTACCATTTTAAAAAAATTTTTGTTTTTTATAAATTTATTTATTTATTTTTGGCTGCGTTGGGTCTTCGTTGCTGCATGAGGGCTTTCTCTAGTTGCGGTGAGCGGGGGCTACTCTTCGTTGGGGTGTGCAGGCTTCTCATTGCGGTGGCTTATCTTGTTGTGGAGCACCTGCTCTAGGCACGTGGGCTTCAGTAGTTGTGGCATGTGGGCTCAATAGTTGTGGCTCGCGGGCTCTAGGGCACAGGCTCAGTAGTTGTGGTGCACAGGCTTAGTTTCTCCGTGGCATGTGGGATCTTCCCAGACCAGGGATTGAACCTGTGCCCCCTGCACTGGCAGGCAGATTCTTAACCACTGCACCACCAGGGAAGTCCCATTCTCTCTCTTAATCACTGCATTTTACTCCCATCTATTTTCTAAACACATGAATGACATCAGGAGGACATTTCCTAGGTTTTAGGCAACTTTATTTAATTCCCCAGACATACTGTAAAAGTTTACTACTTTGGACCAATTGGGGAAAAGCAAAGTTCTGAATCAGTTAATATATATAAAATTCAGAAAGTCTAAATAGACCAAGAACACTTTTAGAAATGAGATCTCTGTAAGAGATAAGAAAGATCTATAATTAACATATCAGCTATCATTTTAGATGAAAGTGAATTTTTTTTAATTACTAAGTTTCTTCCTAAGAAGCTTAATCATTTTTTCAAAACTCCTATTTGCCCAATGGATTTACTTGTTTCATTATTTTAGGTAGTATAAGTCAACCGAGCTGCTATCCTAATCATTAAAAATTGTCTACTGGCAGAGGTCTATTCAACTAGGTTTTACTGAACACGATCTAAGAAGCCACAAAATCTTAAATTTTAACATATACATCAAAATGAGAGTATAATCAGAAAATCAAGGCATGAAGGAGAGAACAATAGTTAACAGCAAAATTTACCAGGGCATGAATAATCTCATGTTTCACTGTAGACAGCATCCCAACAAACTCCTGAGGCTGGGTAGAGATCATATTTGGACACAGGTTAGCATATCCTGCAATTGGCCTGTTAAAACAGACATTAAATTTTTAATTATATTCCAGGACAGTATGTATTATACTTATTAACCTATATTTTTCTATCAAAAACTGATCAAGGTCAGAAAAATCTTTGTGAAATATCAAATGTCATTTTACAACATAACATCTAACTTTCACTGTCTTTTACTTTCCAGACATATACCTGTGTTCTCCTATGACATTGCTAATCAGCAGCTGTTCCCTCAAGAGGATAGTCAGTTAATTATACTTCAGTGTGAATTTGTAAAGTATGTCAATATGTACCAAAAAAGGGAATGAACTAAAAAATTTTAATTATAACATTATTTTTCTTGCAAAATTCATTTCTGACTTCAGCATTTCACTATATATATAGGCACAGGGACAGACAAGTAGGTAGAGAGGAAAAGTAGGTACAAAAGAGGACAATAAGCAAATCATTCAGGTTGCTGCAAGTTGCTGAACCTTCTGATTTCCATTTCACTATTCCCTTTCTCCTGTCCCAATAATGCCTTCATTAACATATTTTTTAAAAAAATTTATTTATTTTTGGCTGTGTTGGGTCTTTGTTGCTGCACATGGGCTTTCTTCTAGTGTCGTGAGCGGGGGTTACTCTTCACTGCGGTGCGCAGGCTTCTCACTGCGGTGGCTTCTCTTGTTGCAGAGCACGGGCTCTAGGCACGCGGGCTTCAGTAGTTGTGGCTCGTGGGCTCTAGAGCGCAGGCTCAGTAGTTGTGGCGCATGGGTTTAGTCGCTCTGCGGCATGTGGGATCTTCCCGGACCAGGGCTCGAACCCATGTCCCCTGCATTGGCAGGTGGATTCTTAACCACTGCCACCAGGGAAGCCCAACATAAAGTTTTTTATCTTCCTATTATCTTCTTTCATACAGTATTCTATACCTTCTAGAATCTACAGAATTCTATATCTCTTTCTGAGCCTAGAACTTGAGAGTCCAAGAGCTCACGAGGACCCACAGTAATTCAATCAGTTTCACCACGCACCCACCTGCCTTTCAAAAGCTGTGACAAACAGTAAGGAACCCCAAGGTATTTCTCCCAACACTACCTCAACATTTTACCATAGAAATACCACAAACCTCCCCAAATGGTGATGGCCTATTTACAGAGTAACATTTGCCTTATTTAGTTAAAAAAACATACAGTGCACTTTCTTCATACTTGAAAACAACAGACTTGCACTTAGAAAAGTATGAGTATAATTCACTCACCAAAATATTACCACGGTGACCTCTAAGATATAAAATAAACGTCACTATCAGGCTTAAACCCTGTCAGGAACTTCCTACTGCAATAATTATTTTTTTTATTTTTTCCACGGTACGTGGGCCTCTCACTACTGTGGCCTCTCCCGCCGCGGAGCACAGGCTCCGGACGCGCAGGCTCAGTGGCCATGGCTCATGGGCCCAGCCGCTCCGCGGCATGTGGGATCTTCCCGGACCGGGGCACGAACCCGCGTCCCCTGCATCGGCAGGCGGACTCACAACCACTGAGCCACCAGGGAAGCCCCCTACTGCATTTAGAATGAAACAGCCCTGTCTACTTCTCCCTCCAACGCATCCCCTAAAGCTCTCATCCTCAAGCACAGTTTCCACTGGAGTGGCTTCTAAGAGCAACAGGTGGACACAGCATTTTCCTAACATAAGCTCTTTCTCCAGCTCTTTATTTGGCTGAAGCCTATCGATTTTCAGGTTATATCTAAAGTTTCACTTTTTCAAAGAGGCCTTTTTTGCCCAGTTGATCTAAATTATGTTTCCCCCTTTTGTTCTCTTTTATGTTGCAACACCCTGTCTTTTTCTACAAAGTATTTATCATATTTGAAGTCACATGTCTATTTGTATCAGTATTTAACTAACATCTGACTCCCTCTGTAATTTGTAAGTTCCATGAGACAGGTACACGTGTCTATTTTGTTCACCTAGTCTGCTGGCAACATATTAAGCACTCAAATATTTATGGAATGAATTAACGCAATATAGCAGTTTTGAAGGAAAGTTTCACTACTACTAAAAAGATTCAAAAAGAACAACTTAAGATATTGCTCTTCTAACATCAACATTCTCCTCATAAGCAACCAAAATTTTCCCCATGTATGAGAATACATACATGAGTAGCTTCAGATTCACTGACACGAGGAACATTTATTCTTTCAGCTAGTCATTCACACCTAAAGTGAACCAAATGTTCAAGTGCCTTAAAGAAATATAATAGCAGTGAAAAGAAAGTAAGATGCATCTCTGGGCTATGGGATTCTCATCTGTGTGATAACTCCTATGTTGGATTCTCTCCCCAAAAGACAATTAGATACTTTAAGTACCTTCAGTATTATCAGATGCTGAAAGGAGCTGAACTAATCCAGACCCATCTCAGCATGGGATTTTATATCCCTCTCCCTACTTCCCCAGGGAAGCCATTCTGTTCCTAATACATCAGGTTCACTTTAACATGTCTTTTGTTTGAAAAAGTAATTAAAGCTCATTGGAAAAAGCTATATATCTAAACATATAGAAATGTATGAAGAAAAAGGTAAAAATTCCCTATTTTACAAACTACCACCACTAAATTCCACTATCACAGGTAACTGCTATCAACAATTGGGGTGCTTTATTTTTTAGAGTGACCAACCATCCTGGTTTGCCTAGGACTGAGGGATTTCCCGAGATATGGGACTTTCAGGGCTAAACCAAGGGTACTCCCGAGAAAATTGGGATAGTGGGTAATCCTAATTATTTTTGACTTTTACCTTAGCACATTCAAGTCCATACACAGAATTTTTGTTTGTTTTTTTGTTTGTTTTTTGCGGTACGCGGGCCTCTCACTGTTGTGGCCTCTCCCGTTGCAGAGCACAGGCTCAGGACGCGCAGGCTCAGCTGCCATGGCTCACGGGCCCAGCTGCTCCGCGGCATGTGGGATCCTCCCGGACCGGGGCACGAACCCGTGTCCCCTGCATCGGCAGGCGGACTCACAACCACTGCGCCACCAGGGAAGCCCCATACACAGATTTTTAAAACAAGTATGAAATCGTATTATGTACACTGTTTTGCAATGTTCTTCTGACACTCAACAGTATATTAAAAATGAGATTGTGTGTGTGCACAATCCATATGGTTTAGGTCAAATTAAGATAAAGAGCCATGATTCTGCAGCACTGCTATTATGAAGGTATATTTCTCAAAGACACCTACTTTAAGAAGTATCTCATTTTATCAAGTAACTTGTCATTCATTTAGCACTTCAAATACCATATTTCCTTGATATTGAGACACCAGTAATTATAAAATTTCATAAATTTAATGACAGCTTCTCAGGAAAAAAGGAACAATCTATTAAATACATATATCCTTTTTACTAAACAACAGTACATATACATCTTCAAAACCATATAGCACTTCCTTCTTCAGTAATAAATATTTGACTCGATGCATTCTCAACATTCAGAAGCTAAAGATTTTTGAGTTTATTTCATGGATCAATAATTATATAGCAACATGCTAACAGACTGCTTTCATAATCCATGATGCTGATTTTGACCTCCTTACCACCTTCAGTATTGACAGTATAATTCTGAAGCATATATTAGTGTTTCCTTTGTATTGGATACTTGGTCCTACTAATAATTTCATTTTTTCCTTAAATTAATTAGCTATCAATAGAACTGAAACAGCTCTTTAAAGTCAGCTAGTATTTTGATAGGTAGGAACTCGGCAACGGTCCTTACATTCACTGGACCATTGAATGTGGTCACATTAACTCTCCTAGATTTGAGAACGTCACGTACAAACTATACTGAGACATACCAGTTTCTACTGCCTTTAACTGATTTGTCTGGTGTGTAACAGGCAATCTTCTGTATGCATAACAACTTTATTTCAAGGCTGCTTCACTGAGAAAAAATTTTTGAAATATTTTTTAAATAAAAAAGAGGGAGCGGCTAGGCCTGTGAGCCATGGCCGCTGAGCCTGCATGTCCGGAGCCTGTGCTCCGCAACAGGAGAGGAGGAGAGGTCACAACAGTGAGAGGCCCGCGTACCACAAAAAAAAAAAAAAAAAAAAAAAAAAGAGTCCTTTTTTTTTTTTTTTTTTGGCCAAGCAACATGTGGGATCTTAGTCCAACCGAGGACTGAAGTGGCTCCTCCAGCAGTGGAAGTGTGGAGACTTAACCACTGGACCGCCAGGGAAGTTCCGGGACTCTAAATTTTTTAGAGATAATTAAGCTAAGTGAAGGACATAATGATATGACAATTAGATGAACAGTTATTTTGAACATCTTACAGTTCAGCACAGAAGTGCTAAAATTAAAGTTCAAATTGTTTCCTTAGAGAGGTGTCATCACTTTCAAAGAAAATTCTATTGACAGTAGACTTTTCCTTTGGAATTGGTACTTATATTACCATATGCATAGCAGTTGTATAACCTGGTTCCCCCACCACACCGCAATCCAGGCAGTATGCCATTTCTTACTACTGGAGGTAATCTCGCAAATGCAAACTTCTTGTACTCTCAACACTTAGAATATGTTTTAAGAGTTCTTATTTTAGATCTTGGGAAATAAGTCTCAGGGGAAAGTTTACCTGTCCATTTTTGCTTCCTGCTGACAATAGGCTGCATAAGAGATGATGTTTTCATGGCTGCACCTCTCAGTGGCCAGAGCACCAACATAAAGAACAAAGTCTGCATCCCGGACTCCCTCTTGGTCTGGCACACCCACTGCTCCACAGGGCCACTTACCCCCACAGCAGACTCTGCATTGCTATGCCCATGGGGGACAACAACGGAAAAACAGACCAGAGATGAGGTTAGCTATCAGGACTTTTAATTTATAATGAATCCAGACTCTAAATATGTATGATTTAATTTTTATTTATTATCCTTCAGCTTTTATCAAAATCCATACCTCTCTCTACTCAATTCCTATCTCTAATTTTAAATTTATTTTATTAAAATTTCTACTTTATATACTATAATCATAAATGTATAATATTAATTAAAACAAACAATTGCTATTTATAAAGGGCATGCAACCAGGGTACAAAAAAGACAGCAATAGAAAAGGTTTTATTAAACCCTGAAACTAGGTGAAAATTACAAGGGACCTTCTTGTACACATTTTTTTTAGCAATTTCCCGTGAATCTATAGTTACTTCAAAACTAATTAATAAAAAACTTTATTTACTGGAAGTATTTTCCTATTATAAGTAATTCATGTATCTTGTTAAAAATTCAGATAATACAAAAGTATATAAGGTAAAAAGTTAAAGTCATCTTGTAATATTACCTTTGTTTCTAGTTTTCTAAGCAAACTTTGCCCTTTTAACATACGTTTTTTAGAGAATTTCTTCTATCAAAGTTCCTAAACAATCATAATCTCCAAATTATAAATAGGAAAATCAGTAAATGGTGTTTTTTTTAAGGCATAGGTGATGCTTGCAGAGAGAGAAAAGACAGAAATTCTCATTTCATTACATTGTTTACTCTTGCTTCTCTAATACATGTATTTATAATTTTAAAATTCAATTACTTTAATCTGTTAATAGTTGATATTAAGAAAAGCTGTGATTTAATAGCATTCTTTACATGATCTCTCATTTATTTAAAAAAAAAAAATCAGGACCCCCAAGAAGATAAGTAGAAAGCAGAATTTGAAAAAGCCAAAAGAATTAAAAACAAAAATACCTTAGAAAAAAAAGCAAAGAAATATGCCTTAAAATGTCTACGAAATATCTCTAAATGTCTCAGGAAAAGAGATAAATATGTAATTAACAGGTTGTTTCAATTTTTAAACATGTTCCCCAAACCCTCTATGCTTTCAAGAAATTTGATAAAAGAAATGGAAGCTGAGTAAGTTAGCTGTATTAGTGCCAAAAGCCTTTAGTGAGCTTCAAATACTCTGAGAAAAAAATTATAAAGTAAACTTCAACTATATGCTTAATTTTGCTGACAAAGTCAATGTTTAATAATGTATTCATTTTCTAAAAGTAATGAGAGAACACAGCTCAATAGAGAAAAGCAGCTAAAGCAATAATCATATTTTCCAAAATATAGGTATAAATAAATGGGCTTTCTGGTTTACACATTTAAACTTTTTATATTTTTTCTGATACAAATAATAGATGCTTAATATGAAAAATCAGAACATTACAAAAATGTATAAGTTAACAAATAAAAGCCCTCCATAATCCAACTCAATGAAAACCATTAAAATTTTATGTGTCTCCAGATTTTTTATATATGTATACCTCCAGATTACTTCATAATTTTTTTATATGTGTGTATACACTTCTTATTTTTTATGCTTTTATTTCAGCTTTACTGAAAGCTGAATAATTGATGATAATTTTTAATTTTTAAATGAAATAGACTAACTACCCATACTGATTTACAACTTTTTTTTCCATTTAAAAGCTTAACTATCTTTCCAAATCAGCATATAAAGATCTATTTTGTTCTTTTTTTTTTTTTAATATTGTTCATTTATTTTGGCTGCACCGGATCTTAGTTGTGGCATGCAGACTCTTAGTTGCGGCATGCATGTGGGATCTAGTTCCCCAACCAGGGATTGAACCTGGGCCCCGTGCATTGGGAGCAAAGAGTCTTACCCGCTGGACCACCAGGGAAGTCCTTCTACTTCATTCTTTAACAGCTGTGTAGTGCTCCATTATGTGGTTATGCCATAACTTAAGTAATATTAATATAGGCACATTTATAGTTTTGCAAAGAATATCCTTGAACATATATTACATAGTTATAAGTATTTTTATGGAATACATTTCCAGGTTGGGTTAAAGCATACACATTATTTTTATTTGAAGAGATAATGTTAAATTGCCCTTTAAAAATTCTGAGGTATATAGCTGCTAAAAGATGTTTTGGAGGGCAAAGATAAAGTCCTAAGCAGAAACGATTCAGCAGCCTCAGAGATAAATTGAAAAAAGAAAAAAATAATTAAATTCACTTGAAAACCAATGAAAGAATAAAATCAGCACACCTAACTGTGATTACTTTTGGTAGAGAATGAAGCTTTTGAACTTAAGTCTGTAAAATCTTCTTAGTGACAATCACAGATTGAAAATCTGTCATAAGTTTATCCTAAAGAATAAGAACATTGCTAAGAGCAGGGTGAAATACCTGGAGGTGCTCCTCAGGCACTATAACGGGGCCACATCTTGTATGCTCTGCACATTCCCCAGTACAGCATCTATGGTGATCATTTTCCTTCCGAAGGTATTGGTATTGGTTTGTTGCACATTGTCTTCAGTTCATTCGTACATCAAAGTTTAATTACAAAAAAAAAATAAAGATGAGTTCACAGCAGTTAAAATATTGTAAAAAACTAGTAGCTGCTATGTTTATTTCATTTATAATAGTTACTATTTTAGTTAGAAAAGTAGTCTAATAAAGAATTTTGGTTCCATGGCAAATTCTTCTGATCTGGGTTTTCAAACACTCAAATACTTCAAAAGCCAATACTGTACACATGAAGGAAGGGGATATGGGAAAAAGGGATATGGGAAAAAGCCAATACTGTACACATGAAGGAAGGGGATATGGGAAAAAGGGTACAACTATACCCAAGGAAAAGATCCAGTGGGTCACCTCATAATGGAAAATCGGGAAAAGAATGATTACCCAACAGATGCTCTTTTATTCTTTTTAAATATCTTACAGTTTGGTCTCCAGGAACCAGCATAATAAAATACTCCAGTATAAAACTCACAATTTGCCATACTGACAGAATGGGGTGGGCAGAGTACTAAATACTAAACAACTGAAGAAAATGACCTGTGTGTAATGTGACATACCTACTAAGTAATATGGTGCCCGCAGGTCTACGAACCTGAAAAGTCTTCTCTAAATAAGAAACAGCTTGTGGAAAAAGTTTGGTCTAAATAAAAGTTGGAAAAAAAAAACCAGTCAGAATTACAGCTAAAAGATAAACTATATTTAAAACAAGTAAGCATAGGATATTAATGACTAAGGGGAAAGAAGGAAAAAGCCTTATAATTCTGGAATATAGGTACTAGTCAAAAGTTGTGTGACTATGGCTAGGGAAAGATTGAGTCTAGGAGCAAAGGAATTTCCTCATTTACTAGTTTAGTTTGGAGGAAAGAACACCAGAAAGTTCCTTCCCTACCCCATTTAAATAGAATATTATAAAACATAAATCACAACTATTAATATTACTTTAAATTTGAGACTGATTTAGATTATTCCAACATGAAGGTAGTTTATGTTAAGAAAATCATATATTTAGAAGATCTACTTTAGCCTCACCCATTTCTGTGACCCCATAATGAAGTGGCTTAATGTGTGTGTGTGCCTCTGTAACAGTTAAAAAACTTATGAGGCTAGCACCTCTATAAATGACCTTGGCATTTCATACTATCAGGCCAATTAATCTTCATGAGAATGAGCATTTCCACCAAGAGAATAGTGTTCTCAATGTTTTTAAAACATCATCTTTTTCATCCTATCTGAAGCATGCTCTGCTCCCCTAAAACTTAAGAGGACAAGTAAAAATATGAGAATGATTTAATGTCAAATTATAAAATGAGAAGACTAACTTAATATCAAATATGAACAAAGTTTTGGTGAGTGCATCATAAAAACACCTTGGTGATAATAGAAATACATTCACTACCAACACCTTTTATTCAGTCATTCACAGAATAGTTATGTGTATGTTTTTCATTACTGAAGTAAAATTTACATACAATAAAATGCACCATTTTAAGTGTCCAATTCAAGCTATGAGTATTTATTACATACCTTTACAAGGTGTCTTTTCTCAGGGAGCAACCTGAAAATGATGACATAAAACATAAAGATTGCCATGCTGAGGGCAAACCACTATCTCATTTTTGTTCAGAATACAACTGGCAGGAGTCCCAAGGAATGCTTTGTGGAAGCATGCCATATCAGTCCCTCTAAATCTCAATGAGCATTTAAGAGTTGATCACATACTGTTTCATTCATTTGGGAAGTTAAAGATAGGGAAAGACATCACCTACTCCCAATAGCTCTTCATAAACTACTACAGATTCATAATTTATCTCTTTTCTGGACACCCTCTTACTCTAAATTAAAAATTAGGCTATATCATCTCTCTGGTTAATAATTTTGTAAATGTTCTTACTATTGTATTAGTATTTTGTCTTATTGTTCCTCCAAGTACTTAAGTGCCTTCCAGGTCTGTTATTGACCACATAAGTAGACATACACTGGTGTGCTTAAATTATTCATGATGTATAGATTTAAATCATATCCCATGGCCTTCATCTTTCTAAACTAAAAAGCATATTTAGCTTAATTCCATTTTGAGGGTACACTAGCATCTACTTCCATTTATAGAACTCCAGGTAACAGATGAAAATATTTTCAATAGTTTGATTCTTAATAAAAAAAGATGACAGGGGCTTCCCTGGTGGCGCAGTGGTTGGGAGTCCGCCTGCCAATGCAGGGGACACGGGTTCGTTGCCCCGGTCCGGGAGGATCCCACATGCCGCGGAGCGGCTGGGCCCGTGAGCCATGGCTGCTGGGCCTAAACGTCTGGAGCCTGTGCTCCGCAACGGGAGAGGCCACAACAGTGAGAGGCCTGCGTACTGCAAAAAAAAAAAAAAAAAAAAAAGATGACAAATAATGATGTACTTACTCTTCAATACTTTTATCGTAGACAGTCTTGATTCTTAAATGTTCATTAACATCTCTCTTTATAATATGATTTGCCTTAAGATGGACCTTATTTATGACCTAAAAAAAAGGAACAGATTTGAAAAAGATGTATAGATTAGTTAATTGAGGTCCCAACTTAAAATTAGTAAACTAAATTTCAAGTGTAATACCCAGAAAAAATACAAGAACTAAATAAATTGAGAGACAGTTCATGCTCATGTATAGGAAGACTCAAAATTATCAAGATGTCAGTTCTTCCCAACTTCATCTATAGATTCAATGCAATCCCAATCAAAATCCCAGCAAGTTACATTGTGCATATCAACAAACTAATTCCAAAGTTTATATAGATGGCAAAAGACCAAGAATAGCCAACAAAATGTTGAAGAAAAAAACAAAGTTGGAGGACTGACACTACCTGACTTCAAGATTTACTATAAAGTTACATTATCAAGACAGTGTGGTACTGGCAAAAGAAGAAACAAATAGACCAATGGAACAGAATAGAGAGCCCAGAAATAGGCCCACATAAGTATATTCAACAGATCTTTGACAAAGGAAAAAAAGCAATACAATGGAACAAAGATGGTCTTTTCAACAAATGGTGCTGGAACAACTGGATATTCACATGGGAAAAAAAAATGAATCTGGAGACAGACCTTACATCTTTCAGAAAAATTAACTCAAAATGGAATATAGACCTAAAATGTAAAACACAAAACTATATAAAACTCTTAGAAGATACCATAGGAGAAAAACCAGATGTCCTTGGATATAGTGATGACTTTTTAGATATAACACTAAAGGTACGATCCATGAATGAAATAACTGATAATTTCAACTTTATTAAAATTAAAAACTTCTGCTCAATGAGGGTTAACATCAAGAGAATAAGAAGACAAGCCATAGACTGGGAGAAAATATTTGCAAAAGACAAATCTGATAAAGGACTATTATCCAAAATATACAAAGAACTCTTAAAACTCAACAGTAAGAAAATGAGAGACTTCCCTGGCGGTCCAGTGGTTAAGACTCTGCGCTTCCAATGCAGAGGGCCCGGGTTCGATCCCTTTTCGGGGAACTAAGATCCCACATGCCATGCCCAGCGCGGCCAAAAGAAAGAAAAAGAAAATGAACAATCCAAGTAAAACATGGGCCAAAAACCTTAATAGACACCTCACCAAAGAAGGTATATAGACGGCCAATAAACATACAGAGAGACGTTTCACATTATACGTCATCAGGGAAATGCAAATTAAAACAACAAAATATCACTATACATACTTACAAAACTAAACACCCAGCAATCATGCTCTTTGGTATTTACACAAATGAGTTACAAACTTATATCCAAACAAAAACCTGTTCATGGATGTTTATAGCAGCTTTATTCATAATTGTTACAACTTAGAAGCAGCCAGGATGTTCTTCAAGAGGTGAGTGGATAAATAAACAGTGGTACATCCAGACAATGGAGTATTATTCAGAGCTAAAAAGATGAGCTATTAAGCCAGGAAAAGACATGGAGGAACCTTAAATGCATATCAGTAAGTGAAATAAGCCAATCTGAAAAGGTTACATACTATATGATTCCAACTATATGACATTCTGGAAAAGGCAAAACTATGGACACAGTAAAAAGTTCACTGTTTGCCAGGGATAGAGGGGTGAGGGATTAATAGAGCACAGAGGATTTTGAGGGCAGTGGACCTGTATGATACTGTAATGATGGCTACATGTCGTTATACATTTGTATTATACATTTGTCCAAACACATAGAATGTACAACACAAAGAGTAAATCCTAATGTAAACTATGGACTTTGGGTGACTATGATATGTCAATATAGTTTCATCAATTATGACAAACATACCACTCTGGTTGGGGATGTTGATAATAGGGGAGCCTGTGCATGTGAGGAGGAACAGAGTATTTGGGAAATCTCTGTACCTTCTTCACAATTTTGCAGTGAATCTAAAACTGCTTTTAAAAAATAGTCTTTAAGGGCTTCCCTGGTGGTGCAGTGGTTAAGAATCTGCCTGCCAATGCAGGGGACACAGGTTCGAGCCCTGGTCCAGGAAGATCCCACATGCTGCGGAGCAACTAAGTCCGTGAGCCACAACTACTGAGCTTGCACTCTAGAGCCCACAAGCCACAACTACTGAACCCACATGCCACAACTACTGAAGCCCATGTGCCCAGAACCCCTGCTCCACGACAAGAGAAGCCACCACAATGAGAAGCCTGCGCACCTCAATGAAGAGTAGCCCCCACTCGCCACAACTACAGAAAGCCCGTGTGCAGCAACGAAGACCCAACACAGCCAAAATAAATAAATAAATAAGTCTTTAATTTAAAAAAATGAAGATGAGAAGACAATGGAACAAATAGTTAAAGCACTAAAAGAAAGATATTCAATACTGAAGTGTATCTCCAATGAAACTACCCTTCAAAAATGAAGAGGAAATAAAGATATTTCAGATAAACAAAAATTGAGAGAATTCATCACCAGCAGACCTCCACTACAGGAAACACTAAAGGAAGTTCTTCATGGTAATGGAAATGACACTAGAGGGTAACTTGGATCTTGTCTTAGTTCAGGCTTCTATAACAGAATACCATAAACTGGGTGGCTAACAAACAACAGAAATTTACTTCTCACAGTTCTGGAGGCTGACAAGTCCAAGATCAAGGCGCCAGAAGACTGGGTGCCTGGTGAAGGCTCACTTCTTGTTTCTTAAGGCCATAGTCTGGTTGTATCCTCTGGCAGAAGGGGCAAGGAGCTCTTTCATAAGGGTATTAATCTCATTCATAAGGGCTCTGCCCTCATGACCTAATCATCTACCAAAGACCCCATCTCCTAACCATTATATTGAGAGTTAGCCTTTCAACATATGAATTTTGAGGGAACACATTCACTATATACAAGATCTGTAGGAAGGAATGTGGACAAGTGGAAATGTTAGATAAGTAAATATAAAAGTCTATTGTGTAGAAAACAGTTAACATAGCAGGCCTAAGACTACTATCTTTAGAAAGACCTGCTTGCAAGTTTGACTTTTCACTGGTCCCAGAATTTGAATGGTAAACTGTCCCTACACTGACATAAAACTTCCCTAAGCAATAAGGCAGTCTCATTGTGACCAAACTGCTAACAGAAATACAGTTTATGCTGAACATCTGTTTACTTCTCAGAGTCAGGAATGTTAGTGACTGAAATTGTGCCTACATGAACCGTCTCCAATAAAAACCCTGGACTCCTAGACTCAGACGAGCTTCCCTGTAGACAACAATTTGTGCTTGTTCTTACAAGTTACTGCTAAACGGATTAAGCATGTCCTATGTGACTCCACTAGGAGAGGATTCTTGGAAATGTCAAGAAAAATTCAACTAACAATCAAGTTAAGAAGAGAAAAGGGTATTTAATTTGGGCCAAACTGAGGATTATAACCTGGGAGATAGACTCTCAGAAGTTCTGAGAACTGTTATGCCCATTAGAAGTCAAAGGCACAGTCATATACATTCTCAAGACAAAGAATCATACATCAAAGTGACATACTGATATTTTACATAAAGTTCACCAAAGATATATAGTCCAGGTAAGCACGTACAAAGGCAGAGAACAACAGTAAGTCACTATGGCTCGCTACAGAGTTGGGAAAGAATGGTATTCTTTTAAAAAATTACATTGCTAGTGCCAGAAAAAAGGGGAAAAAAATCGATCTTTATGATCCAGCAGGCATTCCCATCTTTGAGGAGGTCTGGTTAATGTGTAATTCAGATGCACACAAGGAGGGAGGGAGGAGGCCCAAACGGACACAGAGACAGAACTTTATGTTTAAATTTTCTTGTCCTGCCTTAAAATACACATTTTATTTCATCAGAAGCTTGTGTCTGGTTTCCTTCAGTTTTTGCTCCGGGAGCCATTTCTTTTTACTGATTGTGCTTGATATGTATCCTTTCACTGTAATAAATCTTAGCTGTGAGTACAACTATATGCTGAGTCCTATGAGTCCTTCCAGCAAATCACCAAACCTGGGGTGGTTTGGAGACCTTCAACACAATTATACACATATTTCTTTTCTTCTTTTCATTTCTTTAGAGACATTGTTTAAAACTAAAATTATAAAATTGCAATTGTGAGAGTTATATGTAGAGTTATTATATATTATGGTAATAGCAAAAGGACAAGGAAATAGTGACACTATACTGTTGAAAAGTTCCCGTATTTAACATGACTATAAACTTTAAGTAGATGTCATAAATTCAAGATACATATTATAATCAATAGAGCAAACATTCAAAAATATATTGCATTTTACTGTTGGTTAATTACACCTCAATTTAAAAAGTAAAGCAAAGAGATACAGCTAAAAAGTAAACAAAGGAATTAAAATAGAATACTAAAAAACAGAAGGCACAAACAGTCAAGTGAAACAAAGAGAAAAAAATAGCTAAACTGCCAATCCAAACTCAACCATGTCAAAAATCACATTAAATGTAAACATTAAATGTAAAAGGACTGAACATTCTTGTTAGAAAGCAGAGACTGTCAGACTAGAGAGAGCAAGATGCAACTATTTGCTATCTATAAGAAGCCCATTTTAACGATAAAGACACAGAGAAATAGAGAGTATAAGGATGGAAAAACACACATCATGTAAACACTAATCAAAAGAAAGCCAGAGTGGCTATATTAGTATTAGACAAAGTATATTTCAAAACAAGGAGTATTAATTACCAGGAATAAAGAGAGGGGCAGTATGTAATGCTAAATGGGTCAATTCACAAAAAAATAACAATGTAAAATGTGTAAACACCTAACAGCAGAGCTGCAAAATACGTGAAGCAAAAACTGAAAACTGAAAGGAGAAGTAAACAAATCCACAATTATAGCTGGTGACTTCAACATTCCTACTCAGTAATCAACACAAGTAGACAGAAAATCAGTAAGGACATGGGAGACCTGAGCAGCACTATAACTAACTTGACCTAAATGACATTTATAGAACCACCTGCCCCAACATCAGCAGAATGTACATTCTTCTCAAGTACACACAGAACGTTAACCTGGTTAG